TGAAAATGAGAAACTCGTTTAAATGAGAATATTAGGCACGGTGTGTGGCTGGTAGCAAACGTTCAATGAATGCTAAATGCTAGCCGTCCTTATTTTGTTAAGATGATGTTAGTCCAGCCAAGCACGGCACTCCTGGCTCCTTCCTGCGTGAATACCGTTAGAAAGTCTGGAAAGTGCCCATCCTTTAGGGCAGGCTCCCTGAGCCGCCGGCGGCCACACGGGGGCGCCGGAGGGCCATCTCCGGCCTGTGTGGGCTCCGCTGCACCCCGCTCCGGGATGCGAAAAGCCGTGGGGGTTCCCCTCTTCCGCTGGGCTGCCGGATGGGAATGCCGGGGCCTCCTCCGCTCACCGTACACAGACCCGTGTCCGCGTTACAGACGGGGTACCCAGCCCCGGGCGGTGCGCAGGACCCCGAGGCCGGGGGCAGCCGTCTCAGGGGGAGGCGTCCACCCTCCACACCCCGCCCCGCGCGCGTGTTGAGCTGGGGACCCCCCCAGGGCTGGCCTGGGTGCGGCCCTCGGAAGGTTCGGCTGACATGGATCCCTCCTCGGTATAGACCAGTGGTCGGCAAACTCATTAGTCAACAGAGCCAAATATCAACAGTACAACGACGGACATTTCTTTCGAGAGCCGAAAACCGACGTCTGCCCATGGGCCACGAAGTTTCAATTTCGCTGTCCGTGATATTTTGTGGAAGAGCCAGGCTCAAGGGGCCAAAGAGCCGCACGTGGCTCGCGAGCCGCGGTTTGCTGATCCCTGGTAGAGACGCTGCGGGAACTCGGGGAGCCCCCACTGCAGCCCGGAGGGAGGCGGGTGCGGAGCTGGCTGAGGCTGCAGGAGCAGAGCGGACCGGGGCCGCCCCGATCTCCGCCCACCGCCCGGAGCCCCCCTCCCGGCCCTCCGCGCGGCCTCAGCGCCCCGCTGGGGAGCCTTGGGGGTGGGAGCAGGCCTGCAGCTCTCCCTTGGCCGGGGCAGCCCAGTTCTCATTATCCACGGCCTCTCCCCCAGCCTCTCTTTCCGGACCGGGCCTCTTCTTCGTTTTGGCACTGGATAATTTGAAAGTCACTGAAAAGTGCCTACCTTTTCATGCCGAATTCTTTCGCCTGGGTCCCAGGTGGGGACAGAGGCGCGCGGTCTCCAGAGGTACCCGTCTGCACCAGGCTAGCGCCTCTTTTCCCAGGGGAAGGCGGCTGGGACTTCAGGTTCCGCCTGTGAGAATAATTGAGCTCTAATTGTTTCTCCAGCCCTGATCTCGCAAGACTTGGGCGGAGGATGAGGCCTCTTGGTGTTAATGCCAAACACCTTTGCATGCCCATTGGCCCCCCCAGGCCTGCCCTTACCTCCTGGGGTCACCATGGTCGGCAAACTGAAGCTCTTTGGCCTCTTCCACAAAATACCACGGCCTGGGAGAGTCTATTTTGAAGAAGTGGCGTTAGAAGAAGTTTAAGTTATGCCGAAACCGGTTTGGCTCAATGGATAGAGCGTCGGCCTGCGGACTGAAAGGTCCCGGGTTCGATTCCGGTCAAGGGCATGTGCCTTGGTTGCGGGCATATCCCCAGTAGGGGGTGTGCAAGAGGCAGCTGATCGATGATTCTCTCTCATCGATGTTTCTAACTATCTCTCCCTTCCTCTCTGTACAAAATCAATAAAATATATATATTTTTTAAAAGAAGTTTAAGTTAAAAAAAATTGGCTCTCCCCGAAACCGGTTTTGCTCAGTGGATAGAGCGTTGGCCTGCAGACTGAAAGGTTCCGGGTTCGATTCCGGTCAAGGGCATGTACATTGGCTGCGGGCACATGCCCGGTGGGGGATGTTCAGGAGGCAGCTGGTCAATGTTTCTCTCTCATCAATGTTTCTAGCTTTCTATCCCTCTCTCTTCCTCTCTGTAAAAACTCAATAAAAATAAATAAATAAATAAATAAATGAATAGGCTCTCAAAAGAAATTTCTATCATTGCACTGTTGTTATTTGGCTCTGCTGACTAATGAGTTCGCTGACCACTGTCCTGGGGCATTTGTACCCAAGAGCAGGGGTTGGGAGGGTCAGGTCCTACTGCTTCACCTGCTGCTTCCCCCCCCCCCCCCCCCCGCCCCCCATACCCTGCAGCCTTGGGGGCATTTTGGTGGAGGTGGTGGTTCCCCTTTGCTTTTGTTACAGGGCAGGTAGGTCTCCCATCAAATGCTTCCCTCCATTAAAGAAAGCGGGGCCTAGGAATGCGTCATGGAGACACCCATCCATGTTCCAGACGCCAGACAGCTGGACAGACTGGGCCCAGAGAGGACAAGGACCTTGGTCACCTCGGACCGCACAGCGCTGGCTGGGAGCCAGGGTTCCTGCCTCCTCCGGCTGCCCTCTGGCCGCAAAGGAGACCTGGAACCTGGCTCTCTTCCACGGTTATTGAACTTGTGGGCGTTGTCATCTTTAAGAAACCCAATAAAAGGCGTGAGGTCAGCGCCCATCCGCTCAGTCAGCTCTTTTGTCTGCTTTTCTTCGCTCTGGAAAGCGCCTCTGATCAGCTGTTTCCTGGCTCCAGCCAGCGGAGGGCGGGGGGCCGGCGGGGGCTGGCCTCGGGCCACGGCCATGCCGGTTCCAGATGTGTGTGTGCTGGGCGGAGGGTGTTTCTTAGGAAGTTCAATAACTGTCTCAGCGAGTCCCAGCCCCTGCCCACTGGGAGCCAGGCCAGCACATCATTCCCATCTCACTGGCCTTCCCTCCCCTGGGATGGGGCAGAGCTGGAGGGGAATCAGGACGGTCTCTGCAGCGGATGTGCGTGGTCCCCATGTTCACCAGCCCAGGAGGCTCCGGGGCCCTCTGTGCATCTGTGACTGTGGCTGTATTACCAGAGATCTCTTCGGGGCACAAGCCGGGACCTGATGGCTGGGACCTGTGCGCAGCCTCTAGGACCGGAGTCCTCTACTCTGTCCTCCACACACTGCGGGGACACCCTGCTGGGCACTTCACTCAGAAGAGGGTGCCTTGCCTCCAAAGGGGCAAGCGACTCAGGCCCTCAGCCATGGAGACGGCCTCTGAGCCGGCTCCCGATGGGATGGGATGAGGCAGCGGGTGCTGGAGCCCAGGCTCAAATGGAGGCAGCCGGCAGGGAGTGAGCTTGGCGGTGCCATCTCCCTGGGCCCGGAGCTACAGGGGAGAGGGGACTCTGGTGCCGGCTCCCAGGCGCCCTCCACATGCACCCCTTTGCCCCACACAGCCTAGTTCCCATCTGTCTTATGTCACGGCCATCAGGGAAGGCACTGTTTGCAGAAAGTACTCACTGTGGAAGCCCTCTGAAGTCCCCCGCTCAAGGCCAGCCCTCAGGCCCTCGCGCGCATGCACAGTCACAGTCCTGGGTGGGAGAATGGAGGCCTCTCTCCCAATCCCCCCAAACGCACCGAGCTCCTTAGGAAGTCACGGGCACGTCTGCCTCCCGGGGTGATTACCTTGCCTCCACACGGACAGCGGACTCAGGCCTGTGGGTACAGAGAGGCCCCCTGAGCCGGCTGCAAGTGGCATGAGGCAGAAGGTGCTGGAGTCCAGCCTCCGGAGGAGGTGCAGGCAGGGAGCGGGCTTTGCTCCGTGCCCGGGCCTGTGCCAGGCGCTCACGGTTCAGATGGTCTCCAATCCTAAGAGATTGCCTCCTTCCCTTCCTTCTGGCTTTACTGAGCCAGGCGCAGGGCTACAAAGACAAAGCTAGCATCCCAAGACCTCACCGCCCCGTGAGAGCACCATCGAGAACATGGCTGTGACCGCGGTGGGCACAGGGTGCAGGGGCAGCCCCAAGGGACTCGGGGAAGGTCCTCCAGGGGAGAGAAAGCCGGCTGGGACCGGAAGGCCGAGGAAGGGCAGTCCAGACGGAGGGAACTGCATGTGCGAAGGCAGGGAGGCAGGAGAGAGCCTGCCTGCCTGGGAACGGTAGGAGGGCGATGGAGCCCGGGTCCAGGAAATGTGCCGGGTGAGGTTGGGGTCCCAGAACCCCCTCTCCGGACCCTCTGCCTCCTTGGCCCGCTTTGCTCCCGCCGAGGGGCAGGCCCCGGCCCAGCTGCAGACACGGATGCTCTGACATCAGAGAGAAGGAATGAGGGTTGTGAAAAGTGCCTCTGAATGAGCGGCATGAAGACGGAGGCCTCAGGGACAAGAGAATGCTGGTCTTCAGAACCAAACTGTCGACCTTAAGCCCCGCGTGGGAGATCTCCTGGGAGCATTGGGGCCCGTCACACATTCCAGGACCGAGCGGCAGCCACAGCTGCAGCCGCAGCTGCCAGAACAGCCTGGCTCCCGCCCTGTGTGCGGGGAGGGCAGCGGCCGGAGGGCTTCCTCTGGGGCCTGAGTGACGTCACCCTCCCTGAGCGCGGACCTCATCCATCCGAGGCTGCCTGGCTGAGGGCCCAGGCCATGGCGGGGCTCTCTCCCATGATAGGCCCCGGGCCACCTGGCAGATTGGGGGTGGGGAGTGGAGGAGCGGGGGGGTGGGGGGGTGGGGTGGGGTGGGTGTGTGTGTGTTTCAGGCCTAACCCAGCTCCCCAGAAATCGGGATGCATAGGGAGCTATGAAATGTCAGGGGGCTTTAAGAAAAAAAGATGGGGGGAGGGGGCATCCAGGGAGTGGTAGTGGTGGGGAGGAGAACACTGTTTTTTTTAAGGTAGAAAAATGCAAGGAAGTGGAGCTTTTTTTCTCCATTTGTTCTCTGGCAATCCCACCCGAGAACTTCAGGGGTCATGCCGATGACATCATGTCTTGTAACAAAGAACGCTCAGTCGTTCTGTGACATGGAACCCCTGCCTGCACCATGTTTCTGACGGGAGCTGCTTTACTATCTGTGTGTGGAAAGCCGTGTTTTATTGTCACATTTAAATGAGGGTTTAATAGTCTTCAATATCTACCACCAGTGGATTCCAAGGCGGGAAGATCACAGGCAGTGAACTTCGCTTCTCCGTATCACAGACATTTGGAGTACAAAAAAGTCCGGGGGTGGAGAGGACACGTAAGAAAGGTACGAAAGAAGTTGGCTTTAAAAAATAACCCCCAAAAAGTGTAAAACTTGATTTCCCCCCAAAGTACAAATAACTGTGGTCTAACCATCGGAGTAAAGGCTTCCTTGGCTCAGTCCTTGGATAGGAATTAGTTCGTGCACAACTGTCTATCCCAGGGCGTGTGTGTGCAAGAGACACGCACAAACACGCATCACACACACACACACACACACACACACATGCAAGCATGCACACACCCCCACAGAGACAGACACACAGCTGAGGTTTTGATGTCCTAGGCACTTCAGATCCCTGTTCTTAAGTCTGACGCCTGCCCACTGTGTGTGGCACGTTACTTCTTGGGAGGCAGGACGTTTTCCTCAAAGAAGCCCTGGTTGACGACGTTCCCCGCCGGGAAGTATCGAGCCACCACGAAGGAGGACCCGTCACTGGCAGAGGCCTTTCCCACGCCCATCTTCTTTGTGTTCTTCCATACCATGGCCGTGAAGTGCCCTGCAGGGGAGCGGACAGGGGGAGAGGGACACAGGTCAGTTAGAAGCGTCTGGAGAAGGATGTTGCAAGAGATTCTTCGGCTCCTGCATCATCTCGCCAGGCTCAGGGAAGCCTGATCTTCACGGACGCCAATCAGAGACACGAGACACAAAACAGACCGACTGCCTGATTTCCTACAGCATCAGGTCCTCTCTGCCCGCCTCACCACGTACTGACCCCCAAAGGTGTCGTGACCTCCCAGAGACGGTGACAAACCCAAGTTACCCCAACCGTTAGGATGCCACCCCACCTCGAACCTGCCCTCAACCCTCCCCGGAACGGCACTCCTCAAAGTCACCATCTCCACGTTCCTCTCCAAGGGTCCTTTCTTGTCTTCATCTTCCTTAGTGTCTCAGGAACCAGTTAAACACTAACTCCCATGAGGGTGACTCCTCTCCTTTTCAAAGCACTCCCCTCAGGGGGTTCCATGATGCCACCTCTTGCCAATACCCCCTCTCACTGCCTCTTCCTCCTCCTCTTGGTCTCACTTGTAAAAGCTGGAGGGCTTGCACTTCCCTAGACTCAAACCTGGGCTCGCTGTTCTTGCTGCACGTCTTAGGCAATTCCATCTCTCCCTGGCTCCCAGATTTGTTTCTCCAGCCCAAACCTCTCCTCCGTGTTCCAAACACAACCACTTACTGGACATTTCCACTTGGATGACTCACAGACATCTCAAGTTTAACCTCACTCTTGATTTCGGTCCGCCCAGAGTTACCCTTCTCCCTGCCCTCCCACTTCCTTTCACGACAATGCTATGCACGCAACCCTGGGGATAGGTCTGTGTTCCTCACCCTCCTTCATTTCCCCACAACAACCCGATCCTGACAAACCTCACTGTAAAAGACATCTCAAATCCATTCACTCCCTATCCACAAAAATATGGTCCCTATCCACAAACTTTTCTCACTTGGACCATTGCAATAGTCCCCTGGCTGGCTCCCCAGCTTCCACCTGTCTTCTCCAATTCACTTGTTGCTTAAGTAATCAGAGGGATCATGTTGTGACTAAGTCGGATCTGTTCCTCCCCTGCCTAACAATCCTCTGAGTGCTTCCAATTGCTCCTAGAACGAGAGAGAGTGCTTTGGATCAGCGGCCTCTCTGCCACTCCTTGAACCCCCAGGTTACTTCCCCCCACGGAGCCCTGGCACGCACACTGGTGTGGAATATGCTTCTGACGACTAATGCTTCCTTGTCCCGTAGGCCTCCGTCTTTTTCTTTTTAAAAAAATATATTTTATTGATTTTTTTACAGAGAGAAAGAGAGAGAGACAGAGAGTGAGAAACATCAATGAGAGAGAAACATCGACCAGCTGCTTCCTGCACACCCCCTACTGGAGATGTGCCCACAACCAAGGTACATGCCCTTGACCAGAATCGAACCTGGGACCTTTCAGTCTGCAGGCTGACACTCTGTCCACTGAGCCAAACCGGTTTCGGCTAGGACTCAGTCTTAATGACACTGGTTCAGAGAAACCTTTCACAATCACTTTCATTTCCTGAACATCTCCCTCCCAGTCTTAACACACCTGTGTTTTCTCTTCCTAACATTCTTACCATTTGCAATGTTAGATTTGATTACTGGCTTATTGCTTGGCTTCCTCATGAGGCTAGAGGGCCCCACATGGATAGGCAACAAATTGTTTTATTCATCAAAGTATCCCCAGGACCCTGGCACAGCCTGCACATGCCACTTTTACTGAGTGAGTGAATGGAGTGAGTAAGGGAATGGGTGAATGAATGGATGAATGAAAGGCATGGGAAAGAATCCTCCTGGACTCAGGCTCTGCTTTCACCAGAGGGCAGGCCTGCTATGAACTCTTTGAGACCTTTACAAGGTAGAGCCTCCTTCAATTCCCTCTGCTCTCAGTCACCAGACCAGATCTTTCTCAAGGACTGAATAGTGAATTGGGGGGGAGAGAGGGGGGGAGAGACACCAAATGTCCATCAATAAATGAATAGATAAGTAAAATGTTGCATATACATACAATGGAATATTATTCAGCCTTAAAAAGAAATGAAATTCTAACCTGTGTTACAACCTGGATGAACTTGAGGACATGATGCTAAGTGAAATAAGCCACACAAAAGAACATATACTGAAGGATTCCCTTATATAAGGTTCCTAGAATAGTCAAATTCATAAAGACAGAAAACAAAATGGTTGAAATGATAACCGAAACCGGTTTGGCTCAGTGGATAGAGCGTCGGCCTGCGGACTGAAAGGTCCCAGGTTTGATTCCGGTCAAGGGCATGTATGTTGGTTGCGGGCACATCCCCAGTAGGGGGTGTGCAGGAGGCAGCTAATCAATGTTTCTTTCTCATTAATGTTTCTAACTCTCTCTGTCTCTCTCTTCCTCTCTGTAAAAAATCAATAAAATATATTTTAAAAATAAATAAATAAATAAAATTAGGTATACTAGTAGTTTATTTATTTGTCTACATACAAAAAAAAAAAAAGATTTCCTTTCTGAAAATAACCAAACATAAACACCAATCAATAGCGTTGATGTGATATAGTCCACGCAGGAATGAAAGAGCGCAGACCTTAAGGACCACTATGCATCTTTTCTGCTAATCCCTCCACTTGTACTAACCGTCACCCAACAGAACTCCGATTTCCACCTCAGAGCAGAGAGGCACGTCTGGCCGAGGCACCCTGGTCCTGAGGGCTGTGAGCCGCAGCTCCAGGCTGTTGGCAGCTCTGCCACGAGCCACCGCTTCTGTGTGCTGTCTCTCCCTCGAGGCCCAGGTCCTTCCCCACCCCGGCCTTTTCTCTCCACAGACCACATGCTGTGGCCACCGACCCACCCGCGCCCTGGCACCCAGGAAAGGAAGAGAGAGCTGCTGTGTACCCACTGGTTGCCAAGAATCTGCTTACAGACACAACAGGAGCCTCAGCAGCCTGAATGCCTGCGACAGCCTTTTGCCAACAGATGAGTCTAAGTTATCTTCTCTCTGGCCTGCGACAGCCTTTTGCCAACAGATGAGACTAAGCTATCTTCTGGCGGGGAGGTTTCTGTCCACACGGAGATAACGGAGGATGGCATTCAGAGACCAATTAAAGGACACGACTTCCTTAGCAACCATCAGATACACACTGGTTTCTAACCCTAAACAACCAACAGCTTGCTGTTTCTCTCTCTCTCAGTGGAGCACATCCTCCTTCCTGCTCCGGCCCAGGCTTCCCGGTCAGCACCCTTGGAAAACACACGGAGTGACGGTGCGGCTCTGCGAGGGGATCGTGTGCAACGTGAGGAAGGAGGAGAAAGCTCTTTCTGTGTCCACAGGGAGCCGTCTCTGCCGACCTGCTGCGTGAAGAAAGGCGGTGCAAACCGGATCACGTATCCGAGCACGTGAAACAAAAGAAGAAACACAGCCACACATCTACGCAGAGGCCGGCATACGCTCCGAGCAGCTCCGAGCGATGCCCAGGAGACTGGCACACGGGTTGGCCAGGGATGGCCGGAGGGCTTTCCCCTCAGACGGCTCACACACATGCCATGTGGGAGCATCACTAGCTCAGGACGCACAAACAGACACACCTGCTCGTGAAAACAGAATGTAACCAAGGAACTGCAAGAAACCATTTCCCTCCGCTCAGCCCTGGGCTTAGAACTGTGTTCTTTCTTCTTCTTTCTTTTTTTTTTTTTTTTTTTTTTTTTTTTTTTTTTTTTTTTTTTTACTGTTTTAAGTATTACTAATAGGAGTCCATATGTCTCCTTTCTTTGTGTTCTTTACCACAAGATGCTGACAGGGGTGGGGTGGCTGGGGAGAGATGATAGAATTTCGCAGGCCCTTTCACCTGCACCGGGAACTTAGGCCAGGGGATCCCAGAGCACTGGCGGCTCTGGGGGTGGGAGACGGGCCCGCAGAGCGTTAAGGGGCTTGCGAGCCCTGATTATAACTCCCCCTCAAACCCCAAACCTGTGTCCCTGCCCTAGGTCAGGCTCCGTCTATCCCCAGCACTGCCCGCGGACACCTGGGGTGACACAGGGACTGGTTCTGCCGGGGCTTTCCTCTTTAGGGGGGAGTATGGAGCTACGGGTGGGACGGGTGGTCAGTGGTCACAGAGCCGAGTCCGTTCCTGGCTCATCTTCTGTGTTCTGTATAGATACAAAAAGAGCTTCCGCCGAGACCGGTTTGGCTCAGTGGTACAGCGTCGGTCTGCGGACTGAAGGATCCCGGGTTCGATTCTGGTCAAGGGCATGTACCTTGGTTGCCGGCACATCCCCATTAGGGGGTGTGCAAGAGGCAGCTGGTCAATGATTCTCTCTCATCAATGTTTCTAACTCTCTATCCCTCTCTCTTCCTCTCTGTAAAGAATCAATAAAATATATATTAAAAAAAAGAGCTTTCCCCTTCTTCCTTCCTGTGGTTCGTTACTCCCTTGCAGAGATCTATTGTACTAGATCCGTGCGCGGTTCCTGCGTGGAGCAGGGCGGTGGACAGAGCGTCGGGCTGAGGACGGACGGGGTAAAGAGGTCTCTCCCCGTTCCTGGGGCTCCGTGGCAGAAGCCCCACCTCCACACGGTGTGGCAAGGCCCCCGAGGCCGAGGGGCCGGGAGCAGAGCGCACCGCTGGCTCTGACGCGTGTCCCATTCCCCGCGCACCCTGCTCCCGGCGGAAGCGGATCCAGACGCCGTGAAACCAAACGGCTCCCAGACACGGGTCTTGGTGAAAAGGACCCCAACACCTTCAGTCACCGGGAGGAGGTGGGGGCTCCTGCCGCCTCCCTCAGGGGGGGAACGGGGGCACAGAGCCATCGCTTCCCCTGCGGGCCCAGGGGAGAGGCACCAGCAGATGTTGATTCCTGCCCACAAGGTTGCAAGAACTCCCGCCCGAAAGGGCGAGCAGAAAACCACAGGAAACAGTGACGGGTTCCGAGAACATGTCACTTCCTGCTTCTGAAGAAGCTCCAGAGGGTAGGAGGCCGTGAGCGCTCCACCCATGGGTCGGGTGGGAGGAGGAGAGGGATAGAGTGGGTAGAGCACATGTGTCAAACACAAGGCCCGCGGGCCAAATCCGTCCCGCCAGGCCTTGCAATGTGGCCCGCACCGCGCTGTCATCACTGCACTCCGCTGCGTTTCCATCACAATGACAGTTTATGACTGTTCTGTAAACCATTCGGCCCTCGATTTAGGCTGGATTTTAGATTTGGGCCCCTTCTCTGATTGAGTTCGACACCCCTAGGGTAGAGGATTCCTTTTCCCGTTTTTCTGATGCCTCTGGTCAGGGAGACTCACAGCCCCTTCCAACTCATCCTGGGCCTGGGGGGGGGGGGGGGGGGAGGAGGACTGGGGGACCCGGAGCTCAGGGATGCTGACAGGTGGAGTGGGTGAGTTAAATGTTTGCCGCTCACAGTGGAGGCCTACGAGAAGAAAGTCGGCTCCTCCTGCATCTAAACTCCAACTGGAGTGTCCTGTGGAGACCCCACCTCCTCCCTCTCCCTCTAAGGCGGGAAGGACGGGGGACGTGGACCCACCTTCACCCACACAGCAGTGCCAGGGCGGAGACTAGCTCCAGGGGTTCTGCGCCCCGAGCTCACCGGCCCCTCAAACTGCAGCTGAAGGTGAAGGAGGAGGAATGCCCGGGAGGCCCTGAGGCCGGGGGGCCGGGCAGGAGAAAGCAGTTAAAGGGGGGTAAAGGGTTAAAACCGAGAGACAGTGGGCTGGCCCTTTCCCCCGAGGCCCCGGGAAGCCACTGGCCGTCACTCAGGAGAGCAACCGGGCAGAGAGGGCCTGGGAACACTCGGGGCGGAGCAGGCTGGCTGCAGGAGCAGGCAGCAGGGGGACCGGGTACAAGGGCTGAGGCCCCACTTCTGGAAAGAAGCACTCGGCAGCCTTCAGTATGCTCAGCCCCTAGGACACAGGCCAGTCATCCGAGAACATGGAGCTGGCGGGGCGGACAGCATCCGCCTGGGAGCTTAGCTGGAGGGTGTGTGTGTGTGTGAGTGTGTATGTATGTGAGTGTGTGTGTGTGTGTATGTGTGTGTATGTGTGTGTGAGAGTGTGTGTGTGTGTGAGTGTGTGTATGTGAGTGTGTATGTGTATGTGTGTGTGTATGTGTGTGAGTGTGTGTGTGTATGTGTGTGTGAGAGTGTGTGTGTGTGTGAGTGTGTGTATGTGAGTGTGTATGTGTATGTGTGTGTATGTGTGTGTGAGTGTGTATGTGTATGTGTGTGTGTGTATGTGTGTGTGAGAGAGTGTGTGTGTGTGTGAGTGTGTATGTGTGTGAGTGTGTGAGTGTGTATATATGTGTGTGTGAGTGTGTGTGTATGTGTGAGTGTGTGTATGTGTGTGTGAGTGTGTGTGTGAGAGTGTGTATGTATGTGAGTGTGTATGTGTGTGTGAGAGAGTGTGTGTGTGTGAGTGTGTGTGTGTGTGAGTGTGTATGTATGTGAGTGTGTATGTGTATGTGTGTGTGTGTATGTGTGTGTGTGTATGTGTGTGTGAGAGTGTGAGTGTGTGAGTGTGTGTATGTGAGTGTGTATGTGTATGTGTGTGTGAGAGAGAGTGTGTGTGTGAGTGTGTGAGTGTGTGTGAGAGTGTGTATGTGAATGTGTGTGTATATGTGTGTGAGTGTGTGAATGTGTGTGTGTATGTGTGTGAGTGTGTATGTGTATGTGTGTGTGTATGAGTGTGAGAGAGAGTGTGTGTGTGTATGAGTGTGTGTATGTGAATGTGTGTGAATGTGTATGTGTGTGTATGTGTGTGTGTGAGTGTGTGTATGTGAATGTGTGTGTATATGTGTGAGTGTGTGAATGTGTGTGTATGTGTATGTGTGTGTATGTGTGTGTGAGTGTGTGTGAGTGTGTGAATGTGTGTGTGTATGTGTGTGTGTGTGTGTGTGTGTCTGTGTTGGGGAAACAGGGTTCTACCCTCTGGGCAACGTGAAATCCGAGAACGATGGGAGAGGTAAGACCGGAGGGAAAGGGTCGGCTTTCCGAGGTTGGTTCCTCTGACACCAGCCGTCCCGGGCGAGGCCGTGGTGCCCCAGTCACTCACCCGTCCCGGAGGTGAAGCCAGGCTGCTGGAAGTTGTAGTTCTTAATCTCATCGTACCACCTGTCCGCCACCTCCTGTCCTGCGTGGGAGAGACACCGAGACTCAACAGCAAAGCCAACCCACTGCCTGCTCCTCCGTCCGCTGAGAGAGCGCAGGAGCTGGAACGGGACGCCTGCTGTGGGCCCGGCCACGCCGAGAGGCGGCCTGGGGCAAGGGGACCAGATGTCCCGATTTTTAACAACTTGTCCCGAGTCACAAATTGTTAAGAATTGGAGCTGTCCCGCCCAAAGCGGGACCTCTGGTCACCTCAGCCTTGGGGGTGGAGGAGCCCTGGCCTGGGGTCACCCCCATCTGTTCCCCGCCCGCCTCGCACTGGCTGTGGGATCCCAAGCAAGGCCTTCCCCGCCCTGGCCCCGTAAGGAGGGTGAAGGGCAGTGTACCCCACGGGCCTCTGATGGTGCTCCCGGTCCTCCAGAGCCCCCTCAGCCCGCCCCAGCCTGGCCCCTGGAGCAGCCGCAGGAGGGAAGGCAGGGCTGCGGGGCGGGGTCTCCGGCTGCAGGGGGTCCTCAGGGGAGCACCCGGGCCTGCCTGGGCCCATGGGAGGGAGCGCAGAGCGCTGCCGGGGGAGCTGCAGTCTCAGGGCGGGAGCCAGAGGAGCCTGGGCGCTCAGAGCAGAGGCGAGAGCTCGGACGTGTGCCCGAGTCACCCGGGCTCTGGCTAAAAGGCGGGGGGAGGGGCCGGCCACCATCGGACAGGCACGTATCTCTGGAGGAGGCCCCGCTGGAGTGTCTGAAAAGCACCACACGATCCCAACGTGCAGCCAGCGGGGGAACCGCGGCCTTAGCGGCCCCTTGCCCAGCCCCTCTCCGCAGAGAGGGAAACTGAGGCCAGAGAGGGGAAGGCCTTGCTCACGGCTCCCCAGGGAGCCAGTTCAGGGCCAGGAGGGAACCGGCTCTCCTACTGGCTCCTCCCCATCCCTCTCCCTCCTCCCGGCCTGGGGGGCGGCGGCAGGCTGTGGACTCTGCCTTCCGGCGGGGGATGGGGATGGGGGGGACACCACCCCCTCTCCTGGAAGGCGGGAGCTGGGGAAACCAGGAGGACCGTGGCCTCCCCGGGGAGCTGGGGAATGCAAGGCCGCAGGGAGGAGCCTCTCCCACGGGCCTGGAGGGGCTGCAGGGGCAGGCGGTGCCGCCAGCACTTTCCCTGGAAAGCCGGGCCGGGCTGTGGGCAGGAGGCTCAGGCCCTCTGGTCAGTGCGGCCGGCGGCCACGCAGGCTGCGCCCTCACGAAGGGCTGTCTTGCCTGTGATTGTGATTTTCTCTCTGACATGTGGAAAGCTCTGTGCGCTTTTCTGGCGGGAAAGTTAATACACCAGCCGGGTCACACACACCCGCCCTGTACACAGCTGTCTGAGGGGAGTGTGACAGGAGCGAAGTCCTGTAGCCGGGGGTCGGGGTGAGGGTGGGGGTGCGGGGGGGTGCAGGGTGAGGCCGGGTCTGCACAGAGGCCTGTGCCCGCACCCTGCTCCCGGGCTGGGAGCTCCTCCGAAAGGGGGTCCGGGCAGTCCGACCCCTCTGTCCCTGGCAGTAGACTGGCCCCTCGGGCGCTGCGGTGGCTGACCCCCCACCCTCACCCTCTGCCCCGGAGCCCGGAGCTCTGGGTTCCCCTCGGCGCTGCTCTGCGCCTGTGGCTGCCCCATCGCCTGGCTCCACACGGGGGGCGGAGGGCGGGCAGGGCCCAGGAGGGGCTGGAATGTAGCTGCGGAGGGAGGGGGGGGCAGGCGGAGGGCAGGGGTGGCCGTGTAGAGGGAGGGGGGGCGGGCGGAGGGGGGGCCGGGCCGAGGCCGGGCGGCGGAGCAAGCACCCACCTGGCTGATCGTAGGACGCCCAGGCCAGGTTCTCCCCGCACTGGCCGCGGCTGGACTCGGGGCTGTGCTTGAGGATCCTGGTGCTGGCCAGCGCCTCCGAGTACCTGCGGGCACGGGGTTTGCTCAGGGCCGCCCGGGAGGCCCCGAGCAGGAGCCCTAAACCCCTAAACTGGCGTGGCCACGCGTCCTTCCGGGCTCCCGGGCAAACGGGAGCCTCACGCCGAGCCCGAACAGCCCATTCACAGGGGCCCGCTGAGGCTCAGGGGAGCAAAGGGCCTGCAGGGCGTCATTCTAGGCTGACCGATTCTACTCCCCCCATCCCCCCGCCCCGCGGCCCCCTGACTGCACCCACCCTCCACCCCCAACCCTCCCAGGGCCGGCCGGCGCACTCACTGCTGCGCCTCCCGGTTGAGCTTCTTGCACAGCTTCAGCGGGGGGACGCCATGCCGCTGCCGGTACTCGTTGTGGGCCCGCAGGACCTCGTTGTTAAACTGTTTGGAAGCTGCAACGATTCCAAAACGGAGCAGGTCTCAGTGCAGGGAGAGGCCCCCCAGACCTGTCAGTGCCCCCGGCAAACGGACAGGGGACAGAGTGCTCCCCACCCCTGCCCACCCCGTCCCAGCCCTCACTCCTCTGCCCACCTGTCTTCCTCTGCCCACGTCTCCTTCTGCCCGCCTGTCCCTGTCCCTCATCCCTCTGCCCACCCTCACCGTTCTGCCCACCCCGTCTCCACCCCTCACCCCTCTGCCCACCTGTCCCCGTCCCTCACCCCTCTGCCCACCTGTCCCCGTCCCTCATCCCTCTGCCCACCTGTCCCCGTCCCCATCCCTCACCCCTCTGCACCATGGATCACACAGGGCCCTATGCAGGGATCTGGGTCTTTACCCAAAGCTACGGGAAGCAACTGATTGGGGGCAGAGAGAGCTGGTGAGATGGGTGTTTCCGAAAGACCCTGCTGGCTGCTGAGTGGAGGGAGGGCCGGGGGTGCAGAGCAGATGGGGTGGGGGCGGGGGTGCTGGGCGGTGAGCAATGGGACTTCTGAAAGAACGTGTTTGCGGGAGACTGGGCATCTCAGACCGGACCTGTGGTGCCTGGTGGGGACTGGGCCGGACTGGAGGTGGGCTGGGAGGAGGGGTCCCCTTGCTGGGCTGGAAAAATCAGGAAGTCAGAGGGACAGAAGAAAAGGGACCAGGAAGGACAGCATGGGGCGGTGAATGGAGAGGGGGGAAAGAATGTGGTGGTGCTGGGTTCAGAGATGCCCTGAGGGATGGAACGGAGCCTGTGCTCAGTGGGGTCATGACCTTGGAGAGGGCGGTCCGGGGGGCGAGGATACGGAAAGAATAAGTGGGTGAGGCCAGGTCGGCAAGGTCAATAGTGGACAGAAGTCACATCAATCTGGATCTGGAATGGAACCCCATCCACCCAACACCCCTGACAATTTCTCATCCACCCTTCCACCCATCCATCCATCCATCCATCCATCCACCCATCCATCCATCCACCAATCCATCCATCCATCCATCCATCCATCCACCTACCCACCCATCCATCCACCCACCCATCCACCCACCCATCCATCCACCCATCCATCCACCCATCCACCCACCCATCCACCCACCCATCCACCCACCCACCCACCACCCACCCATCCACCCATCCACCACCCACCCACCCATCCACCCACCCATCCATCCACCCATCCATCCACCCATCCACCCACCCATCCACCCACCCACCCATCCACCCACCCATCCACCCACCCACCCACCCACCCACCCACCCACCCATCCACCCACCCACCCATCCACCCACCCACCCACCCATCCACCCATCCACCCACCCATCCACCCATCCACCCATCCATCCACCCACCCATCCATCCACCCACCCATCCATCCACCCACCCATCCACCCATCCATCCACCCACCCACCCATCCACCCATCCATCCATCGCTCTGTCTCTCTGCAGCAGCAGCATCCTCCCAGCCCCGCCTGTCCCCGTGCCCTCCGAGTCCTCCTGTGCCAGGTCCCCGTGGTGTGCGAGGGGCCGGGGACAGAGCAGCCACGTCCTGCCCCGAAGAGCTCACCCACAGAGGGGAGAGCGCCTGCCGCAGGTGCTGGGGCCCCGGGCAGAGGAGCACGGGCGCCAGAGGAACAGAAAAGCAGCCTCGCAGGGTCTGGGGTCTCAGGAGGGAGGTGGCCCCAGGCAGGAGGCTGTGCTTGGGTGGGGAAGGCCCCGAGTGACGGCTGCCGGAATCCGGGAGTGCCCCTCCCTCCGTGGAAATGGGGGACCTGGGGGAGTTAGGAGTGAGGGCTACAGAGAACCCTCAAACTGAGCTCCCCAAGGCCCGGCTGAGGGCAGGAAGGGAGTAAACTGGAGGATGAAAGAAGCATCAAGAAGCAACTGTTAGCCCTAACCGGTGTGGCTCCGTGGATAGAGCGTTGGCCTGCGGACTGAAAGATCCCGGGTTTGATTCCGGCCAAGGGCGCGTGCCTGGCTGTGGGCTTGAACCTCAGTGTGGGGCATGCAGGAGGCAACCGATCAATGACTCTCTCTCATCATTGATGTTTCTGTCTCTCTATCCCTCTCCCTTACTCTATGAAATCAATAAAGAAATATATATATATATATATATATATATATATATATATATATATATATATATTTTTTATTTTTTTTTTTAAAGAAAAAAAGCATCATCGGTTATTCCTGCCATTACCCCAGGTCACATTCACCCTCTGTCCTCCTCCTCGCTGTCTCTTCGCCCCAGGCCCGGGGCAGGTAAGCCACCAGGAGCCCCTTTCCCTCTCTCAGCCAGACCCTTGTGTCTCCTGGGCCTTCAAATCCAACTCTCAGGCCCGGAAGCGGACTTGGGGGGAAGGAGCCAGAACTTGCCCTCGGAGCCTTTGGCCAGATGCCACCCCGGCGGTGGGGGCAGAGCTGTCCGAGGGGCTTTGTGTGGGCTGAAGAAGGACGGAGGCGCCCACAGGGCGGTCCAGTGAGGTCCGGCCCAGGCCGCGGGCAGGACAGGGACGCGGAGCCATGGACAGGCAGCCCGGAGAGCCGGGCCGCAGGCTGTGGGCCCGCAGTCCCCTTGGCAGAGGGGAATTGACAGGCTGCTGAAAACTAGGTCACTGCTCTCCCAGAACATAGGAAGTCAAGAGAAATAAAAGTGAAAGTTCCTGTGCTCACTGTAAGCTCCCACCCAGTCCCACCAGGGCCAGTCCCCGGGGGCAGGGCTCCCAGGAAGGGGGTCAGGAGAACTTCCTGGAAATCAGGGCGGGAGCCCTCCCTCCCCACCCTCTGGGAGGCACCCCCACCCCCGCCCAGGAGTCCCTCCCAGCACCCAGCACCCAGCCAGGCCCAGCCCAGGTGGCTCCTCACGGCGGCCTCGGGCCCAGGGAGGCCAGATAGACCGGTGTCCACACCCAGCCAGAGGCACACCCCGCTTCGGTGGAAAAGCCAGAGGACAAAGAAAAACATGAGGAGAAAAAGGTCAGAGGGAGCCTACCCTTCCCCGCCTCACAGGGAGAGCCTCACAGCCAGGCCAGCCCACAGGGGAGAGGGATCCTGTCCTCACAGGAGGGCCCAGGGAGGAGGCTTTCGGGGTGCCGCCCGGAACAAGGGAGCCAACCACGGCTGGGGGCTGGGCTGTGCGCCCGCCCCTTTACTGCTCCCCACCACGTGTGGGAGCTGCCCATTGATTAAAATGGGGAAACTGAGGCTCGGGACGGGAGGTGACCCGGACACATTCCCACAACTGGTTCTTCACCCCATGCCCCCTCCAAGGGATGCAAGTCAAAGGAAGTCACTGAGACAGCGGGATGGACCAGCCCCGGAGGCGGGCCGGGCTCAGAGAGGCGGGCAGCGGCCTGCAGATGAGAAAAGAACTGAGGCTCCAGACCTGCCTACGGGGCCCCAGAGGAGCTGCAGGGGGAGAAGCTCCTGGGGCAGGTCTGGGGCTCGCGGTCAGAGCCGCTGGGAGGTGGAGGGGCTGTCTGGGGCTGAGGGGAGGGAAGGGGCAGGGCTGAGCTGCCTGCGGGAGTGGAGGGCACAGGCCTCTCCCATGGGGCTGACCTGGGGGCGCTGGAAGGTCCTTTGGGGTCTGGGCTTCTAAATGCCAAAGCCTCTAGGACACATGTGTCAAACACAAGGCCCGAGGGCCAAATCCGTCCTGCCAGGCCTTGCAATGTGGCCCGCACCGTGCTGTCATCACTGCACTCCGCTGCGTTTCCATCACAATGACAGTTTATGACTGTTCAGTAAACCATTCGGCCCTCGATTTAGGCTGGATTTTAGATTTTGGCCCCTTCTCTGATTGAATTTGACACCCCTACTCTAGGAGGTCTGTGCCCCTCCTTCCCTCCCGCCTCACTGCTGGCTAGCACAGGCTCCTCCCTCAGCATCTGTCCTCACCGGAGGCCGCCCAGGGCCCAGCCTGGCTCATCTCTCTCCCCGCTCCCCACCAGGGGCCCAGGATGTCAGAGGCCAGGGCAGGGATTGTAGGCAGGCCCCTCTGCCCCTTGGCAAGAAGCTGGGATAAACACTTTGCCACCTCCCCTCACCAAACCAAAACTAAAAGACTAGCCCCACTGCAGTGGCAGCCTCTCCCAGGAGTGGAATTTAAAACCCATGAGTCTCCAATTTCCGGATCCCTAATGAGGCGAACCGCCTGATAAGACCTGCTGCTTCCCTCAGGGGAGATGACCTGCCTAAAATAACCCGCCTTTTAACTTCTTAGCCTCACCCTCCTCATGCCTAGAAAAACCTTCCCATTGCTAGAAAGCCCCATGAACTGCTGAGCCCCATGAACTGCTGACTGAAGCCCGTTAGATCTTCAAAGGTTCTCGGACGGATATTGTTCTTTAACACTGGAAAGGGCCCTGGTCCCACCTCTGGGATAAAACTGGTTTATCGGTAAGAAAGAATAAAAAGTTGAGGTGTGTGTGTGTGTGGGAGAAAGAGCAGTTTCTGTTCCAGGGTTCCAGGAAATTCAAGAAGCAAATACCAGCTCTGCCTCTGACTGGCTGTGTGATTTTGATCAAGTTGCTTAATCCCTCTATGCCTCATCCCCCCACCACCACCCTCACCCCCATCGCCTCCCCCCCACACACAGAAAAACGGAGATAGCAGTGTCTACCTCACAGGGCTTCGGTGAGAATGAAAAGAATTAATCTACGTCATCGCTTTAGGAGAGTTCTGGAACGCAGTGAACAGCTATGCGGTATCGATTATAATTACTATATCATTACCAACAAAGCCTCATCTTTGGGAGACGCTGTCCCATCGGATCCCATCTGCTGGTATTTGTGTCAAACTTTTTTTTTTTTTTTTAAACAAACTGTATTTTTATTGATTTCAGAGAGGAAAGGAAAAGGAGAGAAAGACAGAAAACATCAATGATGAGAGAGAATCCTTGCTCGGCTGCCTCCTGCACGCCCCACACTGAGTCTCTACCTTGCCACCTGGGCACCTGCCCTGACCAGGAACTGAACCGTGACCTCCTGGTTCCTAGTTTGACGCTCAACCACCCAGCTGGGCCAGCCGGGCCAGCCGGGCTCTCTCAATCTCCAATGCCTCTTTCCACACCTCCGAGCTCAGATGTTGGTGGAGTGGATGAGTAAGCAAGCGAACTGGACCACAGTCTTCTCTCCACAGATGAGGAAGCTACCGACTCTGGGAGCACATGTGAGTTTTGCAATTTCGCACAGTGAGTCCACGTTCAAGCCAGACCCAAGAGCAGCCTCCTGTTTCAAATCTCTCATCCTTTCCTCTTTACGTGTACTTCCCTTTCCCCAAGCAAGATGGCGGTGAGTGGTTCCGGCTGCTCCTTGGCAGATAACTGGCACCGAGGGACTGAGGGAGCCAGGGCAGCCCGTGTCCGTCCTCCAGCCCTGCCCATGGCCGGCCACGCAGGCTGCCAGGAGCGCCGGGCAAGTCCCTGCCTCTCTGGGTTCCACATCCCATCTGTGTGGGAAGGAAGTATGACATCTGTGGGGTTTTTTTGTTTGTTTTTTTCAAAAACGCAGGGAAACCCTTTCTTTGAACTCCCCCCCCACCCCCAGCAAAATCAACAGATGAAAATGGAACAGCTGGAACTGATGTGGCCCCCACAGCCACACCCTGCAGAGGCGTCAGGCCCCGCTCAGTAGGAAATTCCTGGGCTAGCTGGTCCCTAAGTGCTTTCTGCTCTGATGGCAGAGGCGGGTGGAGGGGACACAGATTTTCAGAGGTAATCAGAGGGGTGCAGAAGTCCCTACTGAGCCAGAGCCAGGGCTGAGGAGGAGGCAGGGAGCAGGCGGCAAGAGATCAGGTGGCAGGGGAGAAAGCCCACATTTGGGAAGTCAGGGAGCTGGCTTCAAATACCAGTTTGGCCGAGACCGGTTTGGCTCAATGGATAGAGCGTCGGCTTGGGGACTGAAGGGTCCCGGGTTCGATTCCGGTCAAGGGCATGTACCTTGGTTGCGGGCATATCCCCAGTAGGGGGTATGCAAGAGGCAGCTGATCGATGACTCTAACGCTCTATCTCTCTCCCTTCCTTTCTATACAAAACCAATAAAATATATTTAAAAAATAAATAAATAAATAAAAAATAAAAATCCCAGTTTGTCCACTTACTGGTCAAGGTCTGAGTGTGGGCATGGTACTCAACCTCTAAAAATCTTTACAATTGATAGAGTAGCTCCAAGCCTGGCGTGCACCAGGAGCTTAACAATTGGTAAGTCACTATATTAGGGACTAGATGTTTCCACGGAGCCCAGGGCCTGCGCGGAAGGCCACGGTCTTTCTCTGCCCCCAGCACAGCTGCTGCAAACTGAGCCCAGCAAGGTGGGCGACGGACCTGAGGTCTCCTCCTGGGAGGAAAGCTGTGCCAGCTCAGTCCCAGTTTCCCAGCAATGCCTACCAACCCCAAGTGGCTCTGTGGTTTCTCCGAGATTTAAGATTAAAAGGAGTCAAGCTCCTATGAGGAAACGAAGGCACAGAAGAGGCAGGGACTAGCTCCTTACAACGGTCTCTATGAAACCACACCAAGCCCCTTATGGCTACACGCGTGTGAGCGCTACGGGCCTGCAGCCTCAGGGTGGGGCCTGCCCTGAAGGCCCGTTGGGCCTGGGCTACCCGGAAAGGTCACTTCCTCTTGGAGACCCTTAGTGGAGCCAGCACTGTCCTGGGGGCTGCCAGCCTTTGGGAGAGACAAATACAACGCATGTGGCTATGAGGGCCAGCATCCTGGAAGGTCCCTGGTTGTGTGTGTGTGTGTGGGGGCGGGGGCGCATGGGAGGGGGTGGTACCTGCCTGAACCAGCTCTAACCTGCCCTCTGCCACTGCTCCCTTCCTCGGAAACCTGCTTGATTCTGCATCTTCAGTCTGAGAAGGTGTCACCACCATCCTGCACCCAGGCATCCCCGTGGCACTTGGCTCTCATTTACAAGTCCGTCACCAAAACTGGATTGAGGGTGCCGCCTCCCAAACCCATCCTTCCCCCTCTCCAGTTGCTTAGAGCCTCTGTCATCGGTTAACTGAGTAACTGCAGCACCCTCTTCCTGCCCCCACCTCTGCCCTAAGCACCCTCTTCCTGCCCCCCGCCTCTGCCCTCTTCCCCCCTGACCCACCCCCTGCCACTTTGGGTTAACTCCTCTCTCTGGCACTCCAGGCCTCAGGGGTAAAGTCCGAATTCCCAAGACGCTCTGGGACCTGAGCGCCTCCTCCAGCAGCCCCTTGGCAGCGGGGATCTCTCCTTCCCCTGAGCTCCCACTGCTCCCGCCTCCCCTGTCTACTGGTTTCCCGGCTCTGACTGAAGCACGTGAGGGCTGTCTCTCCTTCCCCGATGATTAGACTCATTGATTCATTTCACAATCCAAACACACACTCCTGCGGACCAGGCTGATGCCCTCCGCGGCACTGAGTCCACAGTACACAGCTGACAGACGGTGGATGGATGGGGAAAAGGGCGGGACAGAGGGAGCAGGAAGGCAGGCAGAGATGGATAGATGAGTAATGAACAGACAGAAGAACGAGCACTCCGCCGCTGGCAGGGCAGGAGAATTGCTCCTCAGGGGAGGAGCTAGCAACCACTGATTGAAACGCGGCTTTAGAGAGTTTGTGGTTTCTCCCTCAATCTGCAGAGAAAGGAGTGGACTCCTTAAAGTGCTTGCTCACATCTGCCACGCTCTTGCCCCATCACCACCTACCGTCATGTCAGCCTCCTGACAACCCCTCCGTCACCTTCCCACACTGGGCCACCTCACGGGCCAGGTGGGGGAAGCCTTGCTCAAGATCACACCGCAGGTGGGGGGCACAGCCAGGCCTCAAGGCCAGACCTGTCCCCACGGCGGGCGAAGGCAGTGTGAGACCAAAGCCAGGGGAGGCATGGGCCTCCTGGGAGGCAGTAGCCAGGCCCAGATCGTCAGGGCCCCCATCCGGGTGGCGGCCAGGAGTGCGGTGTCTGTGGGAAGCAGGTCTATAGCTGGGCAGTGGCCCACGCTGACTGTTCAGGGGGAGGGGGCTGCAGCCAAGAAGAGGCCTGTCCTCCTTTGGGGGGTGTTGTGGAGGAGGGGAAGCCAGGGGCGGCCTCTCAGCCCAGAAGTTGAGTCTACAAGGCTGGGGAAGATTTCAAACCTCAGAGAAGTGGAAGGGGCAGTGATGGTGGTGGTGCCGGGAAAGGGAGCGGGGGGATGGGACCAGCGTGCTCGCCTCCCGATGGCTGAGTGGAGGAAGTAAGAGCTGAAGAACACGCACTCCCTGGGGACCCCAAGTTGGGGCTGGAGAAGGTACTCCCTCACCTGCAGGCAATGGGGGGGGGGGGTGTTGGGCGTGGCAGGCAGGGTAGGACCTGTATTGTAGAAAGTTCACTGGGGCAGCCACAGGGCTGAGCAGGGGCCACCACCAGGTCGGAGAAAAAGAGGAAGCAGGAGTCTGTGCCCTGGTGGGGCCCGGCACCCACAGCCTGGCACAGAGGGGGCCTCAGGGAGGAGGGGCAGCGGCAGAAGGATGCTCTAGCTGTCTGTCCCTCCGAGGGCTGGCTGGCGCCGCTCCGCGGGGAGAGATGCTGTCACATTTTGGCTTTTCCCAGCTCCTAGCTCCGTCCGCCAGACACAAAGCAGCAGCCACGCCTCGGCCGGACCCTGGGCGCCTGGAAGCCCTCCCTCCCGGCCGCCGTCTCTGACTCCCGGGCAGGGGGTCCCTCCCTTCACCCCCCTCCCCTCCCTCCTTCTTCGGGGGCTCCACGGCCACCCCGGCCTCCTGCTGCCCCGGAAACTGCCCCCGATGCGCCTCCGGGCGCTTCTCCCCCTCCCTCCCCCCGCGCCCTCCATCCCGCCCGGTCCCCGCCTGCAGCCCGCGCCCCGGCGGCCCGGCCCGGGAGCTCCCGCCGCGGGGAGGAGGCGGCGAGCATCCCGGAGCCCCGACTCCGGCTCCGGAGCCTCACCTGACTTGCCCATGGCCGGCTCGGCTCGCTCCGGGGCTCCCGCTGCCTCTGCGGTCCGGGCCGGAGCCGCTGGGGTAGCCCCGGGGGAGGGGGGGCCTCCGAGCCCCGCCCCGGCCCGCCCGCCGCCTTATAAGGAGCCGCCGCTGCCGCCCGGCGCCCGGGGCCACCGCCCGCCCCGGGGCGGCGCTGCGCCCCAGCCTCCCGGGCCCCGGAGGCCCTGCCCGCGGGGCTGCAGGCACAGCCCGGGGCTCCCCGGGTGCGGGGCCCGGGCCTCAGCCTGACCCTCACGGACCCGCATCACGCGCCGTCCAGCCCCGCAGCTCAGTATCCGCCGCGGTGCGCACGCCGGGGCGCTGGAGGCCGATCTGGCGGACCCGGAGCTCTCCCGCCGCCCGGCCCGGCCCAGTGGCACCGGGCAGGGCCGTCCTCCGCCCGGGACATTCCCTCTGGTGCGAACCCGGGTGGAGTTGGAGTGCGGGCTCACCTCTGCGGGTCCGAGTCCCCCCCATCCCTTAGGGCCTTGGGTCCCTTCGCCTTCCTGGCCTTGGGGGCAGCGGCGGGCACTCGCCGGGCACTGGGAAGCCTGGGTCCCAGTGACGGCCCCGCCCTGGGTGAGAGGGGCGCCAGCCTGAGGGCCCAGGCGAGGGGGACTCCCCGGAGTGACTGCTCCTGGGCAGGGAGCTCGGCCCATGCTAACAGAAGGACGCTCATTGACAAACCTTCCAGTCCATGGGCATATTTAGCTTTAGCTTGATGATTATAGGCGTACGGTGACCAGACGGCTGGCTTTTGGCAGGACAGTCCCAATTTTTAACAATTTTTCTCGCGTCCCGATTTTTGGGGACATCTGGTCACCTTACTATGGGACGACAGTAAGGCCGGGTGCTGCCCTGTTCACTCCCTCACCCTGTTATCAGGCAAATGCCTACTAGTTTGAGTACTTCCAGTGCCAGAGTGCTGGGAAGCATGCCTCATTCTGAGTCCAAAGGGACTTCTGGTGCTAGGCGGGCATCTGGCCGTTTATATTCAGTTCTGGTTCCCATTTGCCAACAAATCCCCACGGACCTGGCCAGATGAAGCCGGTATGTCACCTCTAGCACCTCTAGAAGGCTGCTTCCCTCCTAATCAAAACAGGCCACAGTGGGGAGACAGCCGAGCTCTCAGTGCACACAGAGGGAACCAATGAGGTCCACTCACATCTCCTTGGACAGAGGAGGAGGCTGAGGCTAGGGAGTGGGTGTAGGGAGTGGGTGTAGGGAGTGGGTGGGGGACAAAATCTGAGCTTGGTGACATCTTCGGAGTCTATAGGCCTTGGAGCCGGCCTTAGCAGCAGGCAGGTGGAAGGGACAGAGTGCAGAACAGAGTTAGGGCAGTGCCAAAGCTGTCCCCTACCAAGAGCCCTGGGCAGAGTGGAGGGGAGTCACTGCCCAGTGGGTCCTGGCTGGTACCCAGGCAGCAGAGACAAGAGGAATGGCAACAAAGAGCGTGTTTGACCCAAGTTATCATTTCTTTTTGGTTTAATGTCCTATTTAAAGACTCCTTACCTATTCTAAGATCATTAAAAGTTTGTTTTCTTCTAGAAGTTTCACAGTTTTAGCTTTTATATTTGAAAGTAGTTTTAGCTCCTACATGCATTTTGATTCTGATGGCATGTGGTATGAAGTCAGGGTTGTAATTCTCTCTCTCTTATGTGGCATATGAATATCCAGTTGCTCCAGTGCCAGTTCTTGAAAAGATAATTCTCTCCCAATTGGCCAGATGTATGTGGCTCTCCATTCCATTCCACTGATCTATGCATTTTTACACTAATACACACAGTCTAAATTACTGCAGTTTTATGTGAGTCTGGAAATCAGGTAGTGTAAATCCTCAGTTTTTCTTTTCCAAGTTGTTTTATCCATTTTAGGCCCTTTGCATTTTCATATAAATTTTAGAATCAGCTTGTAAATTACTGAAAAACAAACAAACAAAAAAAGCCTGCTGGGATGTTGATTGGTATTGCCTGAGTGTATCCATAAACTTGGGGAAAACTGACCTCTTCCTAATGTTGAGCTTGTCTATTTATCTTCTTTAATCTCAATTGTTCTTGGGGATGTTGCTCTCCATTGAGTTTTCTATTCTTGCGGTGTCTTTTTTAGATTTAGAAATCAGGGCAATGCTAATCTTAGAGAAGAAGTTGAAGAGGGTTCTCTCTTCCATTTTCTGGAAGAGTTTGTAAAGAATTAGTATTATGTCTTCTATGAACATCTGCTAAATCTTCAATGAAGCCATTTAGGTATGGAGGTGTTTTTCTTTTTCACTTTTTTTTTGGGGGGGGGATGGGAAGTTTTAAATAATAAATGTAGCTTCATTAATAGACACAGAACCACTTAGACAATCTATTTCTTTGAGGGAGCGTTGGTAACTTGTATCTTAAAAGGAATTAGTCCATTTCATTGGTCATGGGATTTACAGGCATAAAGGTGTTGATAGTGCGTTGTTATCCTTTTGCTGTCTGTGTGCTGTGTGGCGGTGCCCTGGATCTTTTCTGATATTGGTAACTTGTGTCTTCTAGAGGTTGATCAGGGTAGCCAACCTCATTTACTTGTAGATTCTGTGTTTGTGAGAGTGCCTACGTGCTCGGAGTTATCTGTAAGTCTAACGTTAGTGCTGTCAGTGCTGTGCCGGTCACCTGAGGGCGTGCAGAGCCGCGGGAAATTTGAATTGCCCGACACACGTTCCCGGTGATGTTGGGAAGGAGATGCTTGTCTATTTTCGGCTCCCATACTGTCAACAAGCGACCTCTTCCCAGTCTATTCAGTGCTAGGGTTTTGAGTGTTGTCTTTTTGTGTTGGCGTTTTACTGTTTAAAATGCCCACACGTGGGGTGTGAGGTGCTGTATGTGGTGTCCCTCATGCCTGCGACGTGCCTGCGGGAGAAAGTGTGTGTGTGCCAGATAAGCTTCGTTCGGGCCTGAGTCACCGCACTGCTGGCCTCACGTGAGTCCAGTGTTCACGTGAGTCCAGTGTTCATGAATCAGCCACAGAAATGAGGCAAAATCAAAACAGATGTGCAGAGATGAGTGACAATTAGAATACTTAGTTAGGAACGTGGGGCAAGACTGGAAGTCTGTGGCCCAAGTCCAAGTTCTGTGTCTGCTGCCCAACAACTGATTCTGATCCAGGAGCTTGAAATGAAGACAGTAATACCTATTGTAGAGGATATATATATATATTTAAAGATTGCAATGACAACACATTGTGGATGGATCATGAGAATTCTCCTGTTTTCTGTCCTAAGGCTTATGGCCAGTCATACTTTAAAAAGATATTAGTTTGTAAGAACAGGTAATAAATGACTTCAAAATGCCATGGGTATTTAATTTTAAAGCATGCCTTTAACATTTATGTAAAACGTTTTATGTACTCATTCCATGGAAACTTATCTGGCCACTGGGTGAAGCTAGCAATAAAATTATTGGCCCGCTATGTGTTAAAAACCACTCTTTCAATGTCACATATTTTTGTCTGTGTAGTATTTCACGGTCACAGTTTTTATATGTAAAAATGTACTGTTGTTTCTCTGTAGAGACCAAGGCAAAATTCTGCTGATGAGAGAAAACTTAAACTTGCACATTTCAGGAAACTTGGCCACATCTACTCTCATCTCTTGGGGATAAATATTGAAGCGTTCTAGAATCTTTCCCAACTACCCTCCACACCTCTGGGTCGGCCCCTCCAGAGCCAGGTTCTTGGACAGAGCATCTGATTGGCTGAGCCTGGGTCACATGCCTTCACGCTAGAAAGAGAACATAGGAATGTCTGCCCCCCTTCCCCTGTGCACAGTTTGGTACAAGGTCTTCTGTATCAAATGGAGAGTTCTCTGCACTCCGAGCAGCTTCACCCAGCAGATGTCTCCCATCCCTCCCTGTTGGGGGGTGGGGGATGTTGTTTCTGTCCTCCATGGTTCCCCAGAATGTTCCACACTCCATGGCTCAGCCCTTCTCAGTGTCTCAGCTCTGACATCATTATGAATTCCTCCCCAGAGTACGGTTTAAGGCAGCGGTCGCCAACCAGTGATCCGTGAGGTTGGAAGGTTGGTGACCGCTGGTTTAAGGGACAAACTAAGCTTTAATCCCTTCAGGCTTTGGCTCTTGACCTGCAGAGGTTTTTGGAATAAAAATTAGTTGTAATAGCTCAATGGGTGGAAGGCCGTGGAAACTAGAAAAGCAGAGGAAAGAAAAACCTTGGCAGAAAATCTCCTTATTTTACTAGGTTATGCTCTCTTTTTAAAAATATTTTTATTGATTTCAGAGAGGAAGGGAGAGGGATAGAGAGTTAGAAACGTTGATGAGAGAGAATCATCAACCAGCTGCCTCCTGCACAGCCCCCTTCCCCCCCACTGGGGATGTGCCCACAACCAATGTACATGCCCTTGACCGGAATCGAACCCGGGACCCTTCAGTCCACAGACCAAAGCTCTATCCACTGAGCCAAACCGGTTTCGGCCTGCTCTCTTTCTTATTGCTGTTGGAAAATATACGGAATGGGACGAAGCCAAAGCTGAATTGAGAGGCAAATACACTGTATAATACATATAAACATGAGCTTTGAGTTAGACCTGGGTTCAAACTATCCCTGCTCTGCTTCTTACCAACCATGTGACCTTAGAGAAATTATTTAATCTCCCAAGCCTTGGTTGCATCAGCTGTGAACAGTGATAATAATACTATTTGTCTCGATAGAGAGATTGTGAGCATTGCATGAGGCAATTCATTTAGAGCACTTGGTCGTATGCTTATATGAAAGGAATTCTTGCACAATTTTTGGTAGGTGGTCCAGGAAGCTCCTTGGCCATTTGTCACATGACAGTTCTTCCCTTGGGGACGGACTGTCGGTAGTAGAGCATGACACACTGGCTCAGGCTGCTCTGGTCCCATGAGATCATCGATGTGAGATAGAACTGAACATGGAGCATTTGGAAGAGTTCGCATTTTGCTGATATGGTGTCTAGCATTCCTGTCAGAGTCCAAATGAAAAAGAAAAGCTGTAAATAGATGAATCACTGCCAATGTTGGCTAAGGAAGAGGGAAGTAGGAAGCTGGAGGGGAGAGGGCCTGTCACCAGGTCACTTCCAAGGAATTAAATTAAATTTACTGTCCCTCCTTTGTAAGGGAGGGCTTCTCTGACTCTGCCCCGAGCTTAGAAACCAGGAAGGAGAGACGATCACTGTCACAGGCCTGAGAAAATGTGCAGACAGTGACTTATTATTACTTAGTGCTTCCTTGATTTGAAAGTAAAGCACTTTAATGAAAATTCCTCCTACTCGGTGTCTGTATTGCTATGGATGGAATGTTTGTGTTCCCCTAAAATTCTTACGTTGAAACAATCCCCAATGTGATGGTATTTGGATGAGGGCCTTTGGGAGGTGGTTAGGTCACGAGGTTGGAGCCCTCATGAATGGGATTAGTGTTTTTATAAAAGAACCCCAGTCTGGCCATCGTGGCTCAGTGGTTGGGCATCAATCAGGGGGTCACAGTTCAAGTCCCAGTCAGGGCATATGCTTGGATTGCAGGCTCAATCCCCAATGGAGGACGTGCAGAAGGCAGCTGATCAATGATTCTCTCTCATCATTGATGCTTCCATATCTTTGTTCCTCTCCCTTCCTCTCTCTGAAATCAATAATAATAATTTAAAAAAAAAACTTATTTATTTATTTATTTATTTATTTATTTATTTATTTATTTTTTAAGAAATCCTAGAGAGCGCCCTCTCCCTCTCCACCGAGTGGGGATACAGCTAGAAATGAGCAGTCCGCAACCCAGAGAAGGGCTCTCACAGAACCCGGCCATGCAGGCATCCTGACCCGAAATCTAGGACTGTGAGAAACAAGCTTCTGTTGTTTATAAGCCACCAGCCTATGCTACTTTGTTATAGCAACTGGAGCTAAGACGGGTATCTTAGAATTCCAAACCTCACATATACTGACTTATAACAAAAATAATCTATTACCCAATTTGGAGCCTGGAGCGAGAAGACACTCTCTTGATGTTTGATTTAAAAACTAAAATGAACCCTAGCCCATTTGGCCTGCACATGCCTAGGTTGCAGGCTCAATCCCCAGTAGGGGCATGCATCAATGATTCTTTCTCATCACTGACGTTTTTATCATTGCCTTAAAAAAAAGGAAAATGTCACTGCTTATCTAAGCATAGCTTGACCCAGCTAGGTTTGCAAGCAAGTTCTATCAAACTTTTGAGAGAGATGATTCTGATACCATTTCCATGTTCTAAAGCAGTAATTTCCCACCTGGGTGCCATAAATATTTTTTTTTTCATTTTTTGTCATGAATATTTTTATTTTAAAAAAATATATTCTATTGATTTTTTACAGAGAGGAAAGGAGAGAGTTAGAAACATCAATGAGAGAGAAACATCGATTAGCTGCCTCCTGCATGCCCCCTACTGGGGATGTGCAAGGTACATGCCCTTGACAGGAATCAAATCTTTCAGTCCACAGGCTGACACTCTATCCATTGAGCCAAACTGGTTTTGGCACCATGAATATTTTTAAAACATGCAATATTTGACTACTCAGGGGCACTGGCCTCTTTTTCCTCAGATTGTCAAATTAAAAAAAAAATGACAGCAGCTAACAGAACAATAACCCTCTGCTTTGAATGAATCAAAATTATACCTTTTGTTGTTGCTGTTGTTATATTGGCAAAAATAAAACACATTTTTTGGTGTGCTGCAGAATTTTAGTAGTTAGTTTATGTGTGCCAGAGATGAAAAAGGTTGACTATCACTGTTCTAAAACATAGAAAACCTCCCCTGTTCAATTCATGAAGCTAGAATTATCCTGATTCCAAACCTGAAAACTATAGCAAGTTCAAAAAATCATAGTGAATATAAATACCAAATCCTAGGTAAAATATCAACAAGTTGAATTTAGCAGTATACATCATGGCCAAATAAAGTTTATTTTAAGGGTAAAGGGATGGCTTAATATTAAGAAATATATCCAGAACTTATAATAAGACAAAGAAAAAAATATAATGTAAATGCATGCTGAAAATATCTTTGATACAATTCAATATCCATAACTGAGTTCAAAAATTTTTTTTTTACTTTCCCTTGGCAGAATACAAAGAAGCTTCCTGAAACAAACAAGAAAACATATCAGACTGTTTAACAGTAAAACAATGGGGCATGCCCATTAAAATCAAGAGCATGACAAAGTTTCTTGCTGTCACCACTATTATTCAACATTGTTCTGCGAGTTTTAGCCAATACCAGGACAACAAAAAGAGAGAAGAGTAAATATTGGAAAAGGAAGAGCATAGTTTTCATTATGACTCCTCCCTGGAAAAACCTAAGAAAATCTATTAAAATAATATTTTAAAAAATTTAATGATAGCCAGACCCAAGAAAAATAGTTAAAAAATCAATAGCTTTCCCCACATAGCATCAACAACCAGTTAGACTATACTATTGGGGAAATACTGACAATAGCTACAACAACCCATTTTAAAAGCAACCAAGTACAGACATGTAGCCAAATGTACTCTGTTCTAAGCATGATGTCCTGTCTTTGCCTGTCAGCCTGGGCTGGTTTAGGAAGAAGGGGAGCACTCACCGCAACGGGGTGCTGTCCTCCTGATGGGGAAGGCGGTCTGGATCCGCAGCGCCCGCCTTGCCCACCCTTGGGCCAGAGGCTGGTCCTGCATTCCAGAGCCAGCAAAGCCTGAAGGAAGAGGCTCCTGCCACAGCCTCAGGGGCAGCCCGGAGTTCTGCTCGGGTCTGAAGCACTGGCCACGTCTGTGTGGCTCAAACGGGAGGGCTCCCTCTCTGGGTCTGGAGGGTGAGGATCAGGGAGCTGGGGGGAGACTGGGAATGTGGGCCTGGAGAAGGCCTGGCAGAGAAGATGGGGAGGACCTAAGGGCTGGGTGAGGGCCGGAAGGACGGTGTGTTCAGTGGAGCATCTCCTAAAGCAAGAGGCCTTTCCCGCCAGGGGCCGAGCACGGGGATGACTGACACACATACCTTCCTCTCCTGGCCTCTTACTTGGCGCTGCCCTGGCCTGCTGTGCTGGCATCTTCCTTTTGCTCCACTTCCTTCCCTAAACTGACTCTCCACCCTGCTCTCTGCCCACAAGGCTGACCTGCAAGGTTACTGCAACAGGTTCCCTTTTCCTCTGCTTTCCGACTGGCTTCAGCGGAGGGAGGAGACGGAGGGGGAAGAGGGAAGACATGCCGGCTCCATGCAGCGCCTCACCCCACCCCTTTGGACTTGGGCAGTGGTCGGCAAACCCATGAGTCCACAGAGCCAAACATCAACAGGACGACGATTGAAATGTCTTTAGGGAGCCACATGTTTTAAACTTAAACTTCTTCTAACGCCACTTCTTCAAAATAGACTCGCCCAGGCAGAGGTATTTTGTGGAAGAGCCACACTCAAGGGGCCAAAGAGCCGCATGTGGCTCACGAGCTGCAGTTTGCCGACCACGGGGCTTAGGCGAGCTCAAGACGGCACACTCCTTGTGCTTCCTTACACCTGCTCACACCGTGTAATTAGTCTCCTTAGTAAGCCGTCCTCGAATCATCCCACCTATGTCCCTGTCAGACCCTGACTGAGATAAACACTCCCCTGACTGCTCCCGTCTCCAGCGGGACTGGGGGAGGGCCGTCTGGGGCTGACAGGTGAGGCTGTGCTTCGCCCGATTACCTGGTGAGAGTCTGCCAAGATGGGGCTTCCACCTGTGCGTCATTAGGCGGGCACGTGCCAGGCAGCAGAGGCCGCCCCAAACATGGAACCGTGTTCCCGAACGCCCCTCACAGGGCTGAGTGACTCCCGCTTCCCCGGGACAGAGGGGCCCTGTCCCATGGATGCGGAGATGACTGCCCAGGGACGGCTCCCGGGACTCCGCACCCCCTGGTAGAGTCAGGTGCACGTGGTGACTATTCTTTGCTGTGTTTCCAGGTATTTTGGGGAATGCACATGGTATTTTAATAATGAGAAAACAATAGTTTTGGGAAAAAGGAGAGAAGGTGGAGGCGTGGCGAGGGCGTTAACACACTTGCCGTGTGAAAGATTCCTGCCTTCTCCTTACCCTCCCCAGCCCGCCTTCCTGAGAACTCAGCTCGCCTTCCTGAGAACTCAGCTCAGCCTTAGACGTGGCCCGTGTTCTCTCTGGGCCAGTGAGAGGACAAGGTGAATGCGCTGTGTAAACCGAAGTGCCGGAGAGCTGACCAGTGACTTTTATGGTTCCCTTTGCTCTTTGGTCCTGCTGATAGTCAGACCCCACCCAGCAAGCCTGCCCGGCCTGTCTGCTGAGCCTGTTCCCCGGGCCTAGGCTGCCCCCTGGGCTGTGGCAGGGCTGGCTCCTCCCGGGGAAGCACTCGCCCTGCCGGCTGCCCTGCCGGGGAGAGTCCGGCCCTGGCTGCAGGCGTTGGCTCTGCCCACTCACCGCGGGAACCGGAACCAGGGCTTCTGCTCCCTGGGCCTGGCTCCCTCTGGGGATGAAGTGGAGCCTAGCCCTCCAGCCTCAGCACTGTGGGGTGTTGGGGAAAGGAATTTCCCTCTGTTTCCCCTTCCCCTACCCACCAGCCCCTTCAGCAGCTGAGAGGGGGAAGGCTCGGGCCAGAGCCTCAGGTCCCTTTGAGAAATAGAGCGCCCCCTGTGGGAGTGTGGGAGGGTGACCCAGGAGCCTTTGGCTGAAGGAAAATCGTATGTTTTCTATGGACTTTGTCTCACGGTCATTAGTGCTGCTGGCAGGTGTGACTTTCTCCCCGCAGGGGAGCTGACACAGCCCAGGGAGCCCAGCACCAGCCTGGCTCAGTGACGTGTCCTCAGTAGAGTCCAGAGCAAACGACACAGCTCACCCACGAGTGGGAAATGGCTTCACTTTAAATGCCCACATTGCCTGAAGTACACACAGAACCATATAAAATCATTTTTAATTAAAATATAAAAGTTTTCCAATATATTGCATTGAAGACATTTATGTAGAAAAAGCAATTGCAACGAACATGCTACATTGGCATTGAGATATCCTGAAAGCTTAAGTGCCCACTTTTAAACAACATTTTGGTATAATAAGCATATCCTCATATATTTCAGAGGGTACATATAATACTGAAAAATACTTCATGTAAAATCTAAGTTTATGTGCATACAAAAAAGTATTACACTGAATAGCTTATTTCAAACTGTGAAACACATTCAAAGTATTCACCTTATTAGACAACATGCAAACATTTTAACATTTAGATTGACATTTTAAATATATAAACCATAATTCTTTATAACTTTATATCAGAAAAGAAAGTCAGACAGAACACATATCTACATTGTGCATGCCACAAACGCAAACGTGTCTTCAAAACGGAAAGTACTGGGTCAATACACATGATTGTCACTTTACAAATATGGCTATTCACCTTCTTCATAATAAAATAGGAAGATCATGTATTATTTACATGAACTACTAATTATTTCATTTTTGGCAATCACTCAAGTAGCAGCAATTGGTTTAAAGGTCGATGTTTAAAAACTCTAAACTTACCTCGATGAATACTGAAGAACATACATCTGGTTAACATGAAGATGCACAATGCAAGATGCTTTGATGCAATAGAACTTCTCCCTTTCATCAAAGTCACAGACTCACGCTTGTAACCACTGAGACGGTGAGTTCTATTGTAGTTAGTTAGCTTGCTTTCGCTTATTGCAATAGAGGGGTTCCTAAGTTAAAGCTGGAAATAAGGCTGCCTGATGACCTACACGATAGTTCCAAAGATGCTTCATCTCCATTTCATACTGTAATGTAAGGGCTCTTCACTGAGCAGGGAATTGTCTGTAAACACACACACAAACACTGGGGGCCCCTTAACACTCACAGGAACTCTAAAATGAAGTTCCTGCGACACAAAGCCCACAGCCGAGTGAGTTATCTTTCTAAAAAGTGATCATCTCATTCATCAGTGACATGGAACATGTTTTAGAGGGAGGGACCCACCTAAGGAGCAACCTGTGAACTGGCAGGCAGTGACCCCCCAGAAGAAACATCCTCTTTTCATTAGTATTTGGAGGGAAATTTTTAACATTTATAAAAACAAAACAAAACCCCTACTAATGTTGGCAGATTAAAAAAAAATACTGTGTGGTGAACAGAGGTGACGAATGCTTTGACCTGGCCACTCTCCAGCTTCGAAGCTGCATTAGGAAGGCAGACTGAGGAACATTCTGCACGTCCCATGGGCGGTCAGCTATGGGCCTAGACTACGTGCCGGGCGAAGCCCAGGGTGAGGAGGAAGAGGCAGGAGTGGCAGGGGGCTCCGGCCTGGACGCCCGCCGATGGCAGGCTGCTGGAGACCTGCACCTGGGAAATGATGAGGGCAGAGAGGGGGACGTGGGAGGCCAGCGTAGGGCTGTCGGAGTTGATCAGGGATTCGATCTTCTCGGCTTCTTTATTGCAGGCCTCAATCTGGGAGAGGAAAGCATATTCTCTTAATATAAAACGATAGAACCCATGAAAAGGTGAAGTCAAATTCCACATCTACTCCCACATGGGGAATATGCTTTCACTTTGTCTTTTTCTTAGCCAAAGTGGCCTTTAATTATGGTCTTAATGTATTACATAAATAATAACAGCATCAACGGAAATCAAATCAGAAATGAAAGGATCCACAATGCCACTGTCCTTTCTTATCCACTGTCACTGCTTATCCACATTCAGACATTAGCTTCTCATGGTTAGACAGTCATAGGGAATGGACTTTCAGGCCTGTTCACACATCCATTAGACGGAAGGAGCAATTAGAGGCAAGCAATTAGACTGAATGAGCTTTCTAATGATGGCGGTTCAGAGGCCGCTTGCATTCTCCTTCGCTTGGGCCCTCACTATTTGGTGCTGAAACTTGGGGGTCTATGTGAGTGAGGTTCACATATTGTGGGGAAGAAGGACTGGGGCTCACAAGACCAGCTCAGCGGGCTCCTCCCCCCCCAGCGGGAGCACGGACTCAGGAGACAGGCGTCTGTTCTGCTTTGTCATCGTGTGACCTGTCACTCCCTCGCCTCCCTGGCCCAGCTGCCTGGTCTGTAGGATGAGCAGATGCATTCCGTCTGCCCACACTCAGAGAGACAGCATCTCAACCTCCCCCTCCCACTCAGCATCCTGCTGTCACATGTGCACCTGGCCCCTCGCCTGGCAGAGCGCTCGCGGCGCAGCGCTGTCCCTCAGGAGGGAGACGCCCAGCTGCTCCCTCCGGCCCTGCCGAAAGACCATGTCCTCACCCCGGTCCTCCCCCATCTGGCCCGTGCCCACCCGCTGCCAAGGCCACCACACTGAAGGTGACAAGATGCTGCACAACTGGGCGCTGGAGCCCACCTGCAGAGCTTTTGGAGAATGATCGACAGGAATGATCAGGATCACTATTTCGGATTCGATGCTGAAGTACCCAAATACGTCACACTGTGGGACGGACACATGCATGCGGATTTTCTCAAGTATGTCCAGAACGGTTATCGGCTTTTTGTTCGTTACCTAGAAAGAGAAGATAAATTCCTATGATCAGAAAAAAAAAAAAATTCCTCATTACTGCCTAAGCCAAGGAGGCTGTTTTGGCCAAGGAACCTGTAAGGGCAGGGCCCTGCCAGCTGGATTTAAAGTGGCTGCCAGTGGGGTTCTGCCTGACATGGAGCTCTACAGCTGAAACAAGCTCTCTCAGCAGACGCACTGTTTAAACGTGACCGTTCCGAGGATAAGGGGGACCTGGGGGTGATTTTTCGAGGCAGCGACAGGTACTGGCTGCTACGTGTCTGGGAGCCCTGTCTCCACAACAGTGGGCGGTAAAAGTGATGACACAGGAAAGGAAAAGAGGCAAAACTCTCCTGGGCGGTGGCTGGCTCTGAGGAATGGGCTGAGGGAGGGCAGGCAGCCCTGAAACCCTCTGGCGCCTCCCAGTCTCTGGCCCTCACCCGCTTCCTGTGCCAGGAGGGCCCTTTCCTAGAAAGGCTTGGGCTGTGCTGCTGGTCACCACCAGCCAGGGGTGAGGAAAGGAGCCCAGGATCGGGAGCCAGACGGCTGGGGTTCAAACCCTCCTTCTACCGCTGTGAGCCAAATGGCCTCGGGCACGCTGCTTCTCTGCAGTCAGTCTCTCCATCTATAAATAGGACCACACTCTCTACTCTGTAGGATTACTGCGGTTTACCGATAAGGTTTCCACCTAGCATCTAAAGCAATTTACCTTGGCAATTGTATCCAGTTTTTCTTTGTCAAACAAAACTCTTAGCATCCCAGCACACAGTGGGCAACAAGCACCTGTGCAACAGAAACCGCATCGTATGTGGTCAGAATTAGAAACAAGGACACAAAACAGCTGACATGCCCAACCCTTCGCTCTGTGCTAGGAGAGGTACAGCTGGCCTCCCTGGTGACTGCCCGTTATGCCCCTGACCAGCCCGGGGTCTCACAATCTATACATTGACCACATCCTTCCTCCATCGGCTTCCCCCTCCGCCGCTTCTCAGGGTGAGGAGCCATGCTGTGAGGCAGCCAGAGACACGCAGCCTAGACCTGCCCCGCCTCAGCCTCACTATGGCCCTGGGCTTTTGATCTCTACCGGCAAAGCAAGGAGCAGGTACTTCAGGGATTCCATGGGTGTTTAACGCTAATATAACTTTAAAAATTATTTTAAACTGTTAAAAAAAACAACCAAATATCAGAACAAGGTCTCCAGGAGGAAGGGGGCTTTGGCTTCCTCACTGCTGAGCCCCCGGTGACACATAGTGGAAGCTCAAAAAAACAATTGATGAATTCATGGGTGGAGGAGTGGACTTGCTGGTCTCCACACTAATCTGTTCTGACCTGGGATAAAGTCTCTTCTGCCTGCTCTGTTTAACTGAGGAGTAAGAGACTGCACGGTAAGCTATTTAAGAAAGACGGTTATCACTTATAATAGTCCTTTTACAAGACTTCCTCCAGTATGTGCAACTAACACAACTAAACTGGATGCTAAAGCCAATCGGAGACAACAACTCTCTTCTGTCTTTATCTTGAATCACGTGGGCTAGGCCTTCATCAAAACTACTTCAGTTATTCATTTGTTAATTACTAATTCTTTGTTCATTAACTTTTTAGTAATATACAATTTTAAAAGTAAACATACATTTGAACTAATAATCATAATTTTAGTAATTAAAAACTGCTTTATCTGTTTACATATAGGTGTTAGTATAAGATTTCGCTTGAAAAAAGTTTGCCATATTGTTTTAAAACCACTGGACCAGATGGTGTCTAAGGTAGAGTAAAGATTTTTTGAACATTTTAAATAAGCCAGTGACTCTCTCCTCAGGGACTCACTGGAGGCAGATAATTAAGGCTTCCCAATCCGTCACACACACACACACACACACACACACCCGCCCCCGACGTACCGGGTGGGACGATGGGTTTGCACTCAGCTGCGGAGAGCGAAGGACACCTCACGGCAGCACACTCGGTGGCAGAACCGTGCTCGGAGAGGACGCCGACGGCCTGGCAGGGCCCGTGGTAGTCCACAGCCACGCGGTCCGAGTAGGCTGCGCACACGCTGCGGTAGGTCTCCCCGTTGTGCCCGCAGACGGGCTCCGTGGCTCTGCAGAAGGGCTGAGGGCACATAAGTCACACTGAGCCCGGACACCTGTATGGCGCACTTTTCCCGACCAAGACCACAGAGTAGGTCTCCCCACTTTCAGGAAGGAGGAAAGATGCAGGTAAAGTTCTGGGGACCCTCTTATCAAGCTCCTGAGGTGGGCTACCCAGGGTGGAGGGGACAGGCGGGCTGTCCCAAAACAAACTGGAGCGATGACTGTTCTCAGCTGCTCTGGGGCTTGGTGCTCACTCATGTGAACCAATGTGAGGTAAAACTCCCCCTCCCTCAGACTCCTATCATTCCAGAAGTGCCTGCTTGGAGAAAACAAAATCCATCTTCATGTAAATATGGAGGCTTTATCACTTCACGCTTGGGAAAGGGGTAGGGAGAAGGAAGAGTGCAGCGATCCATGGGGCAGAGAGACTCGAGACCCCCCAGCAGGTGAGGACTCTGTGAGAGAGAGCCAGGAAGAGGGCACGGAGGAGAGAAGACTGGGAATTCAACCGCAGGTGTCAGAACACAAGCTCCGGGGAGACAAACGGAGGAAGGGATCTTCCTGACAATGAGGAGAGGAGTGAGGAGCAATCAGGCCAGGCGTTAGCTGGCTGCGGGCGGAGGACTCCCGGGGAGAGGGGCCAGCACCCAGATCGGTGGTGTGTGGGGGAAGCCTCAGCGGGGTTGGCCTTGAGGTTATTCTTAAAACATGAATACAGATCCCACAACCTTACAAGACACAAAGATACCCTGATACAAAAAGACACTGTCTCCGAGAAATTTTTGATTAATCTCAGTGATGTGATAGGGACTTCACCGCAGAGTGTTTGGAAAAGGACTCCTTTCTTGGTTGTTCTGATGCCCGTTCTTCCTGATTTGTTTTCGAGCGAGGCCCACAGAGCTACGGAAAGGGAAATGGTGTGGACTCGTGCCGGGGGTGTGAAACTTTAAATTCTTTTCCTATAAGAAGCCACTCTCTTTTCTCGCTTGTACACCAGATGGGCAAAGGCACACACACTAGCAAGGAGGTCCTCGGAGTTGGGCCGAGTTCTCTGGATGGGACAGGGTTCACAGACGACCCCCGAGCGGTCCTCCTGCTGATCCTCCTGTAGAAGACCTTAAGCCAGTTCAGTGCTCTGACACGCGGGCTCGCCAGCCATCCACCTGTACCTGGCACGGGCCTTTGTACAAGAGGCTCTTCCCTCGCTGGTACAAAGTGCAGAGATTGCTGTGCTCCATGTGGTTTGTGTCACAAACAGGATCTCGGACCTGGTCGCAGGTGAGCTGTCGTGGCAAACACTCGAACTGGCTGCACCCAAATTTGTCAAAAGTCGTCAGGCAGACTTGTGGCTTGGGTATGCATCTGAGAAACACAAATGTGCACCAGGAGTCAGGAAGGATCATGGGGAGGGGGCGGCAGAGCACTGACAAGGCACAGGAGGTCAAGCAGGAGAGAAACTGAAAACACTTCCTATCCCCAAGGAGAGCAGCAGTCAGGCACTCACAGAGTAGCTCTCAGGGAGAAAATCCCACACCAGTGCTATGGGAATCAGTCATCGTGGGCGGGGGGAGCCTGCAGAAAGCACGGAGGATAAGCAGGGCTGCAGTGGCCTGAAGGCTGAGGAAGCAGCATATGCAAAGGTGTGATGCTAAGACTGTGGTGCTGAGGAAGGAGGCGATCCTGAGGGCAGGAGCAGAGAATGCACAGGTAGGAATCCTGACCTGAGGCCATCAAGTGGGGCTGCTGCTAGCAGCCTTGAACTCACTAATGAAGCATTTTCAGGGACTTAATTTGTAGCCTGGCTAATATCAGTCTGTCTTAGAGAAGGCTTCACAATGTATGCTGAAAAATCCAGGTTTCTGTGCTTACGAGCCGAGGACCTGATGCTGGCTGGTTGCGAGTCACTGAGAGAACATCACTCCATGAGCTGGGTTTTCCTGAAAACATCTGGACCTTGCTTCATTCTCAATTCCTGAACTAAGAAGGATTAGGGATGATGATTCTTTTCTTCTTTAGACTTTTCTGCTTCCCTCATTTCTATAAAGAGTATTTATAATTTTCTAAAGGAAGATAAAATGTTTAGCTCTCACTGGGTCTTTGAAATAACAGGACATACAAATATTAGTCTGTAAAACAAGGAAGATTATAGTAGCCTGCATTATTTAATTTCAAAGGAAATTACTTCTATCCTTTTTAGGAATGAGCCTCTTGCACTGAAACCACCACCACCACCATCGCTACTACTATTTATGGTTGTCTTTTTTCATCTAAAATTAGATTGTGTGCAGTTATGGAAATTTAAGATATTTGAAGGGAAATAATAGACTGCATTTGAACTTCTGTCATGTTAAAGTAATAATAGTTAGGGGTTTGTATACAGTAGCTAGAGTTACTCACCCTAACTATTAAAAGCACCCTTTCTCTTCTTTTTATTTTTTTATTTGAGAGAGGAAGAGAGGAGAGAGAGATAGATTTGTTGTTCCCCTTATTTACGCACTCATTGGTTGATTCTTGTATGCCCTGACCGGCGATCAAACCTTGGTTTACCAGGACATGCTGATTCAAAGAGCATGTGAATTTCAAACTTTGGACAAACAATAACCAACTGAGCTACCTGACATTTTTTCAAGTGTTTAAGAATTATCTGTTATTTCTTTTTCTATGTTTATGTCCTTGGTCCATTTTTCTATTAGGTTATCACTCTTTGCCAGTTTTTATATTAGACTGTTGATCTCTTTTAGATTGATTTTAGATTTTTATATTAGACTGTTGATCTCTTTTAGATTGATGTCCTTGTAATGTCCTTACATTACAAGGACATCAGCCTTTCTCTGTGATATTCTTCCCAGTTTGTTATTTGTCTGTGACCAGGAAGAACATTCTCATTTTCATATAGCTGCATTTTTTCAATCTTTTATGCTGATTTTGTATTATACTCAGAAAGGACATCCCACTTTTGAGATTTTATGCATTTTTTAAATTATAAAACCAAGACTATCTATTAGAAAGATTAGCAAGTAGAGAAAAACAAATAAGCAAATACAAAACAACCCTCAAGTCTGTCTCCTAATACAACTATATTATCCTTTTGGCTTATTTCTTTATGTGTTTTTTTGTTTGTTTTTGTTTTTGTTTTTTTAGCACCCTGTCTTCATTCCATAGGAACTTTATTGCCTTAGTTTTCATGGTATAAACTTTGCCAGATGGGTAACCAATTCTCCTTGCTATTTCTTTTAACATATCATAAAATCTTCCTCTTCCTCCATACTGCACAGAGTTTTAAGGATGGAGAGAGCCAATTGCTTATTTCCACAAAATCCTTCGTCAGGAAAGACTGTGGCCCTGGGATGGGCCTGCCCAGGCCCACGGGCTGGCCAGGGAGACCCCATTCTAGAAGGCGGCAATCTCAGAGTCAGCAGGACACTTGCCCTGTGGCCACCACATACAGAAATCCATGAAGGATGGGTCAACTACACCCTGAACTCACGAGAAGACTGCAGAGAAAGGGGCCCCTAAACAAATAATTTCCAATAATAATGAAGTTGATTTCTCACATTCAGTTCTTAAAATGGAGGGAGGTAAGCAAAAGAAAATTTCCCATTATTGTCGGGCATAAATAGCTAACACTTAGAATACATTCATTTCTCTAGTCTCATGTTACCCCTCCTTGCCTCACACTTTCTGTTTCAGTGTTTACAAAGCTGTTGCTATAGCTCCCAGCATACACTGTGCTATCTCCTCATTTCCAGCAGCCAGGATCTTTGCTCTCTGCCTTCACCACCAACACTGTAAACCTTGCCCGTGATGTCCCCCTCACCTTTCCAGATGAATGTCACCTCATTCAGGCTTTCTTGCCCCCCCACCCCCCAGGCTGTCCCAGCTGCTCCCCTCCCCTCCCAGGCCCCCGGCACACACATGCTACCAACCAGCTGCTGTCCCATGACTCCAACAGGGCAGAGACCCTCTGAGTTCCCCTTGGTACTTTCACTGTCTGTACAAACTAGATGCTTAGTAAGTGCTCGTCTTCAGTTAAAAGGATGAGGAGCCATCTGACTTACCTTTGGTTTTTGGGGCAGGGGTTAGGATTACAGGGGTCCTTTGAGATGCATGACCCGAACTCAAACTGCTGGTCTTGGAGGCCCACACAGCGAGCAATGCAGGCACTGGGGTAGGTGCGTCCATTCTGCCCACACACAGGGACGAACTGGTCGGCGCAATTACAGGGCAGTCCTGAAGAAAGGAAACAGTCTCAAGATGTATACTTGTCTTTTCCCCTTTCCCTATTTCCTCAGGAAGACAAACCACTAACAATCATGCAGAGGTCTCACGTGAAGACAGATAGAAAATTAAGTTAAAAAAAAAAAATCCCTACAATCTCTGAAAGGCAGCAGGCTCTGAGAAGCCATTTGCTGAATAATGGCTTTCCTTTGTACCATTTATTGCCAGGCAATTGAGGGCCCCCAGACTTGGATGCCAAGGTTAGAGACCCTATAAACAAAGTATAAGTTGAAAAAGTAAAGAATGTTCCTCCCAATCTGGAGTATAAAATCTAGAATTTAGAAGTTTAAAGGCTTGGTTGGGAGATTTCTAGAATGTACCCACCTTAGATTTTAGGTAAGCAGAATATGGACCAACAAGTACAAAAAACAAGATGAAGTAGAAAAGGTTATAACTCATCACATAGGTTCTTCCCATCTCCTTCCGGAAGGAAGAGAACAAGGTAAGTAGGAAAATTATTGTAGTAGTTTTGAGGCTTAAGAATTTTTTTAAAAAATATATTTTTATTAGTTTTGTACAGAGAGGAAGGGAGAGAGATAGAGAGTCAGAAACATCAATGAGAGAGAGTCATCGATCAGCTGCCTCTTGCACCACCCCCACCGGGGATATGCCCGAAACCAAGGTAAATGCCCTTGACCAGAATCGAATCGAACCCGGGGACCTTTCAGTCCCCAAGCCGACGCTCTATCCATTGAGCCAAACTTGTTTTGGCGAGGCTTAAGAATTTTTATGAATCAATCTCAATCTCTCTCTCTCTCTCTCTCTCTCTCTCTCTCTCTCTCTCTCTCTCTCTCTTAGTGATGTTTGGACTGGAACACTATCTGGGCACCAAACAATATACATTTTTGGGGCCAGTAAAACCTCCTCCTGAGAGTATGCTAGCTGAATAGTGATTAACTTAATTTATCCCAGGACATGAGGGGCTGCAGGGAAAGGGGTCCTCCTAATTGTAAAGTCCATCTTTCAAAATCATTTAAATATAAGTAAATAAATAAAAGTCTTCCGGCTACATCCTTAGTTCACTCTTCATTCTTATGGAAGTTTCATGGTTTTTCTAAGCAGAATTATCATCCTCAGTAGAGCAGAGCAGATAAAGGATATTAAGTAAAGAACAACAATTAGCAGTGAGGGCTGGTGCTTATTAGGATTGATAGAAGATGGGCCGGAGTTCATCTTGCCCATACTTCCCCATCAGCCTCCTGTTCACTTCTCATTTCCAATGTGCTGGAGACACAGTGTAGGTATACCCTCTCCTGTTCTCCCCGACCCCATGCCAGGGAAAGAAAGATCAAACTGCTGTAGCAGAATGAAACCAGACCAGGGCAACCACCTGGTTCCTCTTCACCCAGAACCAGCGGTATTTCAGGCCTGGGAAAGAGCAGAGGCCAATAGGCACCAGCAGACCGTGCTGCTGCTGTTGACAACTGCAGCCTCATCTCAAGAAAAGAGCATCTCATCTCACCAACATTTTCACCAACTGTAGCTGGCGTGAGCATTCCAGTAGCAGAAAGCATGGGAAAGTCAAGAAAATAGTATTCTTAATTAATTGTTCAGAAAAATTCTTATCTCAAAATTAAAATAATTTTCTTGAGAAATCCCTAAGGAAACAAGTGGAAAGAACCCATGTGAGGAGTTTACAGCCTTCTGTCTTGTTTTTGGAATTACCCTTTAACTCGCCAGAAATCCCCCAAGCCAGACTTCAAACATCCTAATTCCAGATTCTATACACCAGACTGGGAGAAACAGTCTTTCATTTTCATACTTAAAGCTTGGTTTATAGGGGTCTCTACCTATAATGAAATGAAGCAGCGGGCTGAACTAAGATAGGTCATGGAATAAAGAGGTGAGCCTGGCTGGTGTGGCTCAGTAGTTGAACAACAACCTATGAACAGGAAGTCATGGTTTGATTCCTGGTCAGGGTACATGCCCGGGTTTCAGGCTCGGTCCCCAGTGGGAGGCAGCTGATCAACGATTCTCTCTCCTAATCGATGTTTCTATTTCTTCCTCTCCCTTATTCTCTGAAATCAATACAAATATATTTTTTTAAAAAGGAGGGTGAGAAAAGCATCTCTCTATATATAAAAGTTAAACGACCAGAACAACCGAAACAACTAGTTGCTATGACATGGACTACAGTGTCCAACCATCTTGATCGGAGCCCCGATCAGCCCCCCAAATCTCCATTGGCCCCTCCCCCGGCCTGGCCCTGCCCCAAATTGCCCCCTGGCTAGCCAAGCCCCAATCGGGGGCAGGGCCAGTCGGCCAACCTCCTGCATCCCCTTCCTCTCTCCCCCCACCAGGCTGGCCCCAATGGCCTGCATCAGGGCAGGCCAACTGGACCCCACCCATACACAAATTTGTGCACTGGGCCTCTAGTGAGAACAGAAACAAACAGAAAATACACAGGCATTTTAGATCATGACCATACTTGCAGGGGTAAATGGGGTATTTTAGCAGGTAGAAAAGTTCCATTTAACTAAAACCATCCCAATCACTGACCCTGTTCTTTTTGCATGAAATTCCAGAATATTAGTGTTGGAGGGGCCCTAAGAAACCATTTCGTTCAATGCCTTTAATCCATAAGGAGGAAACAGATCCAGAGAGGGAAAGTATCTTGCTCTTATATATAAAGATTATGCACTCATTTCACTGTGTATTTTTGCAATTAAGGCAAGACCAGAGAAGCTGCCGGAAGGAAAAATGGGTACAAAGGGATGCTGGCCTGCGGGGGTCAGCGCGAGTGATCACGGTTACCTGTGAAGGTGCGGCGGTCATCTTCTGAACTGTGCTCACTGAGGCACAGGCGGGTAGAGCACACCAAATTGCCAGCGAAACAAGAACAAACATTGCAGTCGATATTAAAGGATGTCCCATGACCTGAGATAAATAAAATGTTGTTCCATATCATGCATTTATAAATAATCATAAATCTAAAGTTTAATAGTTTTAAAATAGAAGTTCTTGAATTGACTTCTGAATATACAATTAGGGAATTAGTTAATCTGTATATTTATATTTGTGTATTTCTCCCCCACCCTCTCCCGCAAAGCCCTAACGGGCTGGCCTCACCAGACTGCTCCCTATTCTCTGAGAATGTTTCTGGCTGCTCTTCTGCCTCAAATGCTCTCCTCCTTCTGGGACTTCACTCATCTCCCCAGGACCAGCCCTGATGCCACCTCTGGACCACAGATTCTCCAGTGCCCTGGCAGAAATGACTAGCTTCTTCAAGAGTGCTTGGTTTGCTACTTTTTGTGGCTCAAATTCTCTCCCCTCTTATCATAGAAAGCGTGACCTCGATCCCTCCTAAGTCTCAGCTCCACAGGCACTGGCATGCTCTTTTGTACAGAATAGGTATTAGTAATCAGAGAACGTTTATGAGAGGAATGAGTTTGTTTATCATTAGATATTTTCTGTGATACAAAGTACCACTTGACTTTTTTTTTAGCTAAGTAGAATATGGACTAAAAACGAATACCTGAATTGCTTGAGGGCCAAGAGCCAAGAGCACGCTTTTTTCAAATAAGGTCTCACACATAAAACTTAGCGTAGTGCATGGCATACAGTTAAAAGTTGACTAAGTGTTAATTATTATTAGCTTTTAGTCCTTTCTTGAGGAGGCTTTAAGAGAATTCCTCAGAAGTCCTAGTGTCCTTGTATAGTTTGAAAAATACTGCTCTGGAGTATCTGATTTGTAGACTTTGGTGAGAATCCATTCAATGTTCTTCCTACAAAGTTAAGATAACTAATCTCATATTAAAAACAGAAAACAAATAAATGCAGTTCAAGACTCACTTTTTCTTTTTCCTCCAACAATACAAGACTTCTGAAGGTCTATACAGTGCATCTCCATGCAGTTTTCTAAGAGCCCAGTATGTCCACAGGAGCAAATTTTATAACAGCCAACTTCTGAGCCTGCAGACGATGGCACCTGGATTAGTGTCCCTTGACGGACGATGAAATCAGAGGCTTCTCCCAATTTGCAACCTGTGCAAACAAACATTAGCTGAGAGAGATGGTCTTGTTCTGCGACACTATTTTATGCATAGATATACTTCATATAAGTCTTATAGGTTCTGTGTGTCTATTAAAGATTAAGAGACTTTTTCACCAAAGTAAGTAATTGTTTTGATTCACTGGCCAAAAACATATTCTTGCAAACAAAAATTCCATGTTTTGTGAGATGGTGGTGATTAAGGACTTATATCCCAAAGTTAGCTATATTTCATTTAAAATTGCTAAAAGATATGCAGTTGTTTTTTTGGGGGGGGAGGCTTATCAAAGATATTTTAAAATCATAGATATTTTTAAAATAGAGTATAAAAACTGATACCATTTTTAGGATAATTTTGGTCAGAAAACTTTTAGTGATACAATGTTAAGTATACCTTAAATTCTTTTAAAAAAATAAATATTTTATTGATTTTTTTTTTACAGAGAGGAAGGGAGAGGGACAAAGAGTCAGAAACATCTATGAGAGAGAAACATTGATCAGCTGTCTCCTGCACACCTCCCACTGAGAAAGTGCCCGCAACCAAGGCACATGCCCCTGACTGGAATCAAACCCGGGACCCTTCAGTTCGCAGGCCGACACTCTATCCACTAAGCCAAACCAGTCAGGGCAGTATACCTTAAATTCTCTAAAAAATTGAATATCTGATTGGGCTTAAGGAAAAACCATTAATTTAAAATTTTAACAAGATTTGTTATGACTCTATAGCTGGTATATTATGGTATTATATTATACAAATATTATAGATGATCCTTTAAGACATCATGCTGATTTAATTTTATCTTTTGTTCCTTTTTACTTTACACACATTTAAAAAGTTAAGCCTAACATGATATAGAAACATTTTCAACTGGGATATAAATAAAAGAAGGCACAATGTTGCCCCAACTATATTTTAAAGGAACTGACAAAGAGCTAAAGACTACAAAAATTCTATGGGCTAAAAATTTTTCAGCCTTAAAGTCATATACATTTCTATACAACATTAAATCTGTGGAGTTGTCCTAGCCGGTTTGGCTTAGTGGATAGGACATCGGCCCATGGATCCAAGGGTCCCGGGTTTGATTCCGGTCAAGGGCATTTATCTCAGGCTCCTCCCTGGCCCAGGTCCTGGTGCAGAAGGCAACCAATTAATGTGTTTTTCTCATAACGATATTTCTCTCTGTCTTTCCCTCTCTCTTCCACTCTCTCTAAAAAATCAATGGAAAAATATCCTCAGGTGAGGATTAAAAAAATAAATAAAAATTTGTGGAGTAATTACACATCCCACTTGAGAATGCCTTTTCTCTAAATATTACAAAAAGGAAAACCACAAACAACATGCAGTACATATTCTCAAACATTACAACACGAAGCACAAAGTACAAAAAGCTGGTCCAAAGTTCTTTTTCCGTCTGTTGTCCAGAACCATATAACCTTTATGAGAGCCTGGTTTTGGGTCAATATTAATTTATAATCTAAATGACTATTGAAAATTACATTTGTCTTTGTCATTTTCTGCTTACATAAATAACGTTTACTAGGAAAACCACAAACATTATAGACAAACAATTTAGAAAATAAAGTTCCTTGTAATCTTCTAGGATAACTCCTATAAAGAAATGCCAGCAACATACCCATAGTCATTACACTCCCACCCCCATCCACCTCTTACCTTGAACACAAGAGTATGGGAGGCAGGGATCTCCAGATGGACACCCTTTCCGGTTCACCTCACAGAGCTCATTAGCAGGGCAAGGATTGGGGTTACAGGGATGAGTCACCTCTTCTACAATGTTACCTAAAGTGCTTGGCCCTGAAAACAAAAACACACATCAGTTTAACATAAACAAAAGAGTAGCAGAGGTCTGTAATTTACCTGAATTAATTATGTATGAAATAAATGGACAGCTGATAAGCATAAAGCAAGGCCCTATTCTAGTAACTATTAAAACATCCAGATTTTCTGGCCATTTGTGAATTTAATACAGACATACATTCATTCGTTCACTTGGGTATATACCGTGTTTCCCCGAAAATAAGACATCCTCCGAAAATAAGACCTAGTGCGTGGAAAGATAAGACATCCCCTGAAAATAAGACCTAGCGCAACTTTGGGAGAAAAAATTAATATAAGACACTGTCTTATTTTCAGGGAAACAGGGTAGAATACTAGAGGCCAGGTTCAATTTGTACATTTAGGGCAGGGGGAGGAGGGGAGGGAGTAGGAGGGATCCCTCCGCCCAGCCCGTGCCCTCTCCCTGAAGCCCTCAGGGATGTCCGACTGCCAGCTTAGGCCTGCTCTCCGCAAGGGACATCCTTAGCGCTGCTGTGGAGGTTGGAGAGGCTCCCGCCACCACCACTGCGCTCGCCAGCCGTCAGCCTGGCTTCTGGCTGAGTGGCATTCCCCCTGTGGGAGCGCTCTGACCACCGGGAGGCAGCTCCTACATTGAGCATCTGCCCCCTGGTGGCCAGTGCGTGTTATAGTGACTGGTCATTCCACTGATTGGTCAATTTGCATACTAGCCTTTTATTATATAGGATGCCTGCCAAGGTTCTAGGCACTGGAGATATAGCAGTGAATAAAACAGACACACCTGAACAGTTTATATTTTGGTCTGGTCAGGAAATAGATAATAGAGAGAGAGGGAGGGAGGGAGAGAATTTTGTGAATACATTCATTTTGCTTACTTGATTTTAGGCCAGACTCAGACTTTAAGGCTGATAGAGGTAGAAGGGCTACTGGAGTTTCTCATCCAGTCCAATCATTTATAAATATGGAAGCTGAGGTTCAAAGGTGTGGTCTGCTCAAAATCACAGAGGCCTATGATTCAGTCTAATGCTTTCATTTTTTGTTATACTAGTCACAAAAGCTAAGGGAAATAGTTTTGGTCTTGAGAAAATATGGCAGATATTTCATTAGAACTCCAATTTTACTGAGGATGGCAATGGGCCCACAGCTAAAAAGGTAACCTTACCCGCATTACCACCATCCAGAACTGAAATATCATCGCTGACATGTACACATAAGGAACTGTTTGACATTGAAATTGGGTCTCAAAAGAACTGGTGGCCCAGAAAGAAGCTCACTAAAGACTGATTCATATGCCTTTCAGCATAATGATTATTGCTTGTCTCATTTTTTATTCTTATAAGTATATTTCCAGTAGGACATGATCTCACTCATCTAGGGGAAATGATGAACAACACAGACTGATGAACAAGAACAGACCCAGAGATAAGGAGCCATGGGTCAGACTGTTGGGCCTCAAAGGGAGGGTGGAGATAAAAGGGAGAGATCAACCAAAGGACTTATGTGCACATATATGAGCCTAACCAGTGGTCAAGACAATAGGGGGGTGGGACATGAGTGTAGGGGGGTGGGGGATTGGAAAGGGGGATTGAGGACAAATATGTGATACCTTAATCAATAAAGAAATTAATAAAAAAATAAAAATAAAAAAGTAAAAAGGTAACCTTTCCCAGTTTCCCTTACAATTAGGGGTGGTTTTCCCTTACACTAGGATATGGTGGCGAGGATTCCAGCAGCCATGTTGTGATGATAAATTACATGAAGTAATTTTGATGATGGAAGCCAAGCACTAAAGATGATGGAGCAAGAAAAAGGATCCTGGATTCCTGATGATGGAACCATAATAACAGCCCTAGACTATTTCTTTCTGGGCTTTCTTTTACTTCTATCTGTTCTGTTATTTGCAATGGAACTTAATCCTACCTGACACAGAAAACAAAGCAGGAGCTAAATTCACTCTTTCTGGCCAGTTCATGGCACTAACGCCCCCTGGTGGCAACCTACACACTCCTTGGTGTGCAGGTGTTCCACTTGTTACCCCTGGTTTCCACCATACAGTCACCTCCTGCCAGGAAGCTCGGATCCAGGATCCCTCAATGGGATACCAACATTTTCTTCTAGCTCTCAGCAGTATTTGGCAGAGAAAAAAAGTTTCATTTTCATTACAAACCATCATTTGTTACTCCCTGTTTGGTGGGTGAGTCCAGCCAATGCATAGCTTGGGGAAATTCCACTTGCTAGTAAATTATGGCAAGGATACAGCAATGATATGGAACTGGTTATCTGAGAATGTTGGCCCCTGGCTCACTGCTTAGAATTCCTGATCCCAACAGCTCACTAGCTCCTCAGTCTGATATAATAATTGCTTCTGTTTATATATTTTAAGATGACAATGATTTCCAAAATGGCCAACCAAGTAAGATAAGAGTCACCAATTGAGAAAGTAACATTAAACCACATGTTCATCCAAAGCAAACATTAAGGGCAGAGATAGAAGGAGACATGTTTGGAAGTTTAAAAATCTTACTGAGGTATGTATCCAAAGGTATACAACTCTCCAGGTCATCTGTAGGTGACAGAAGCTCACAAATACTTTCAGCTGTATGGTCTTCAGGGAATTTGTTCTGGTCCCCACATTTCTTGAGAATTTCCACACAGTCTGATCTTAAAAAGGAAAATACATACAAATTTAGGGGTCCAGGAACCTCCTCATATTGTCTAATCCAGTGGTCACCAACCGGTGGTCTGCAGACCACTGGTGGCCTAGGAGGTCTGAAAGGCTGGCAACTGCTGGTCTAGTCAATATCAATTCTTTTCCTGAAGCTTTCTAGAAAGTGCATTTTATTTTTTTAAATGTTATTTTATTGTTTAAAGTATTATAAATAGTAGTACGTATGTCTCCTTTTTCTCCCCATTGACCTTCCCCCGTAATCCCCTCCCTCCACACCCCAGTGTCTTACATCATTGGTTATGCATACAAGTCCTTCGGTTGATCTCTCACCTCCTCCTCCACCCTCCCCAGCCTTCCTGCTGTAGTTGGACAGTTTGTTCCATGCTTCTTTGCCTCTGTATCTATTTTTGTTCATCAGTTTATAATGTTCTTTATATTCCACAAATGAGTGAGATCCTGTGGTATTTTTCTTAGAAAGTGAGTTTTAATAACAATATTTCACACTTGGTTAGGTCTAAGTATAGCAAAAAAGAACAGGAATCACAGCACACTTTAGGTTGAATACCCTGTTTCCCCGAAAATAAGACAGTGTCTTATATTAATTTTTTCTCTCAAAGTTGCACTATTTTCAGGGGATGTCTTATTTTTGGGGAAACATGGTAGTAAGCAATGTATTACACTATGGAAGCATCCCAAACTTTCTCTTAAGAACCTGAAATCAAAGGCCTTGCTCAAATTTTGTAATTATACTTACTGTTACTAACATCATAGTAGCTTTTCACTCTTTGAAAGGACATTAACTTAGGCTAGTTGATTTGCTCTTTGCAAAATTATACATCCTTTCTCTTAGGACCTTATGCATGCTTGCTTTTCCTCTCCTTTTATTCTTTTTAAAAATATTCTTTTAGTTATAAACATTAAGGTGTTTGGTCTATAACATTTAGAATGCCCACTACTTCATTAGGAATTTGACTCCTATAAGTTTTCTATGCTAAGAGTCTATAAATTTATCACATGTTGACACTTGCTTGTCATCCAATAGTTACCCTCATCTCTCCCCTAATCAGGTCATCCCCAAATCATGTCAGAGGATGGATCTGAACCCTGGTTAAAACTGAAATAATCAGCAATCAGTCATTAAGGGCTCAGTTGCACCAGCCACACAATTTAGGGGCTGGATATTAATTTGGTTTTGGAAAAACTTTTAAAAAAGTGTTTGCAAAGCAGCTGACATTGAATACAATGTAGTTAATGCTTTTGGCTTCACCCACCATAGCAGCTTTCATCTTTATTTTGTCCTAGATCTCCTAAGCAAACCACTCATAAGTGTTTACTAGGAACAGGCCCTAAGGACTATATGCATTAACTCCTTCATTTATCAAACATGTGTCAGGATTATCTAATCCCCAAAGAGGAGAAAGAGGAAACAAGAAAAAAGCAGGCAAGAAGAATAAACTCAAAGAGAGCCATGTTGAACAGAATATAAGTAAACAATTGAAAAAAAAAATTGTGCATTGAAGATACTCAATAAATGTTCGTTGAATCAAGTTCTTTAAGATAAGTAAAAATAAAGGTCTACAGAAATCGGTAGTAAGGATAGACTATCAGATGGAGAAAAGTGGGAAAATTCCAGCGGAAAGCAGGAATTTGAGAGGGGTTAGGAAGGACAGGCTGTGGGCAAATGGAGATGTAGGAAAAAATTTCAAGCTAAGGAAGAAACGTGGGAAAGCCAGGGACCTGCGGGGGTGATGGGCAAAGGGAAGCAGCTGGAGAGAAGACTCCAATAGGCCATGGGTGAAGGTCATGGAGGGTCTGAACCCAAACTGGAGAGTCTTTATGATGAAAGAAACTTACTTGCAAATAATACTCCCTCGGGATTTACTATGACAAGGTTTAATCTGCAGGGAGCAAGCTATTGCTTTCCACATTTCTGGCTGGCACTTTTTAATGTCAAGAACAGGTATGTTGATAAATGGCATCTTTATGCTTCCTTTTTCCCATAGCTTCATGTCATTCATGGCTCCTTGATCTGACTGAGCATTACAACTCCTGAAAAGCTCTGTTGGCCTGAAGAGAAAAAAAGGCCAGATGGGATCAAGAGGCAATTACTTTATAGAGAGAAGCGATGGGTAACATTCTAATCAGAAAATCCTCCTAGATTAGAAGGAACTCTGTTACAGTGCTTCCTTTCCCAGAGAGGATTTACCACATGGAGTAAAGCATTTAAAGATGAAATCATAAAGAAAGACTACTTCCTTTTAACTTAACAAAATCAGAATATAGTGGTCTTTTCACTTATTTAAAAACAAGAAAACCAAGGACAAAATATTTCCATTCCATGTACAGTGATTTGCTCCTACCTGTTGTTAAAATTAGTACAGTAAGTAAGGTTTCTACAGCCCAACTGGCAAGGTTCCCGAACATCTGCTAAACAGGTCAACATGGACACTTCCACCGGATTATATTCACAAAAGCGATCAAACTCTTGCCAACTCTGTGTATTGCCCCAGCTCATACTATAAAGTTTAGTGCACAGTTCCCTGAAATGAAAGCATAAATGCAGGAATATATAGGTAAGGCAAATGAATAAATAATTGATTTGCATAAACTTTAAATACTAAATTTTAGAATATGTGAGCAAAAAAATACAAAAACCAAAAGACTAAGATTTATCTCCTAGAATTTAGAGCCAGAAAGTGATCTTTTTCGTGAAAGAGTTAGCTTTCTTTTTACTACTCATTTTTTTCATTTTTTGCTATGGTTGCTAGAAAGCTCAGTGCTAAATTTAATGTTTAATTATAGTATTTGTACATCCTCGCTCTTGACAAAATTCTTGCCCTCCAAATTTCTGATTTCTCTTTTACCTTTATGTAAAGTTAAAGCATACAATTTTGCCTCCACAAAGATATATCCTAATATATAAAAACCCAGGGTCTGTAATGACCAACGGAAGGCTCAACTGAATACCAGAAGTCAGTCCTGGGTTGCCGTGGTGATCCAGCACTGACTGCCACAGGTGCGGGCACGTGGTCCCAGCACTGACTGCTGAGGGAGCTTCAGATCAGGCCTGGAGAGAGGCCTGATGAAAGAGGCAGGGTCTGATCCACAGCCTTTGTGGCAGCTGTCGATCAGCCGTTGCCCCTCTCTTTTTCTCCAGGCTTCACTAGAAGCCACAGCTGTTTATGATCTGGCCTTCACGGGGGCTGCTGATCAGCCCTGACTCTCTGATCAGGCCAGGAGATGCTGATTGGCATAGAAACTGACCAATCAAAACCAAATCTGGGTGAACTGTGAGGAGCCAATGGCCGCTTAGGAAGCACAGCTTTTGAAGCTAACTGGCATAGAAACCAACCAATCAGAACCAAATTGGCCAGGATTTTTTCCTTCCTTATTGAGTCAAGAACTTCCACCTTTTAACTTAAAGGAAGCACTTTCTGGCTTCTCTTTGACATATTTGAATTGCCAGCATCTTCTAAACTCAAGTCTACACAATGCAAGAGTATAATAGATATTTGTTAGACTTAAAATCATTAAAGTGCTATTTTCTACTGGTTTTAATAAAGGAAAATGAGATACTGACCTACATGTTGAAGTGTTTGCTTTAGAACAACAATGCAATTTAGCCCCATCAAGGCCTGTAGAAGGAGGAGGGTGCAGAGTGACCCCAGGGTGAACAGACTGTGAGCTTTCAAGAAAACACTGCCAAAGAGGATCCTGAGGCAAGGGCTGGGTCTTACAACCCTCGATGAGGCCGTCAACAATCTCCATTTCCGTTTTCTTAGACATTAGAATTCTCTTGCAGGCACTTTGGCAAGCATGGTCTTCAGCTCTGTCACAGCAATATAAACCTACATTTTAGGATATAAGTAGCTAAATTAGCTGGTTTTATGTCATGTACTACTCAGAACATGGTGCTATATAGAAACCATTATTTCTCTGAATCATATATCAATATTTGCAGTATACAGGGTCCCCCAAATTCCCTCGCCATTACTTTGCAGTATAGTAAATAAAGATATTTACCAGGTATACCTATAGACTAGTTATCTATTACTAGAACTCACCAGTATAAATCAAAACAATGGCATCTGGCTTATAAATTCTATCATTTTTTGTCAATTAGTTAATTAGTCAGTTTTTTAAACTTTGATAACTTGAAGAAAATTGATTATAGGATGTACAAGCTGACATTTTAAAAAATATCAGGATCTCATCTCATTTAATGATGTTTCTATAATATAAAATAACTGTTTATTAGTAAAAATTCAAACAGATACATATAATATAGAACAAATAGGTATATACTAAAAATGTATCATATACATTTAGTTCTGCAACTTTTTAATCATATATTGAAATTCTTTCTATGTAAATAGTTATTATATAGCTATATGATTTAGTTAATTACTATTGATGGATGTTTAGGCTTTTCTAATTTTCTCTAGTATCACCAATGTTGTAGTAAATATCCTTTATATGTGTAGATAAGTTTTTGCCAATCTGTAAGTGTTTTTGAAGGACAAAGTCTGAGAAGTAGAATTGCTAGATTAAAAGCTATAATTATTTGAAATTCTCATCGTTATAACCCGGCCCCCTCCTCCCTACAAATCTATACTAACAAATTCTTCCACCTCAGAATAGAGAATGCCCGTTTTTTCATATCCTTGCCAGCTCTGTCTTTCTGGCATATTTTAGCTGTGATAATAATGTCCAATCTGTAAAATTTAAACAAATGTCCTAGGCTGCAGACATCTACAAACTTTACTTCCTTTTTACAAGTTATTTTACAAAAGATTGAAATGAGAGAAATATGTCCCTTTTACTTACTATCTGTTGGGTTCCTCATTGGGTAAGATTGGGTATAATTGTTCACACAGTGTATTAATTGTGGACTAATAGAGGCACAATAATTTTCCACTGCTTTGATCTGAGATGGGCCAGGAGAAGAGTCTGTTCGAAAAATGGCTTGACAGTATTCTCGGCAGTTTGTGTGATGGCCTGCATAGCTGCAACACACTGAGCCCACTGAGAGGGAAAAGGAGAGGACATTGAAATGGATCAGCTATTTGCTAACAATAATCATCATAATAGTGACAAAACAACATGTGTCTTTTTGAATTTTGGAAATAAAACCATGCCATAGAAGACAAGTACTTAAAATCAGCACTACTGTAGGCTTAGCCATTGGGACATTCAGGTGTTCACCAGTGTAAGAAAGTCACTGTTGGTCAACTTACAGTCCAATGGCTTTCAGCAGTAGTAATACCACCCCCTGGGAGAATGTGAATGCGTATGTTAATGTTTCTGGTTTTCTGTTTCTGGTTTTCGTGACTTGGGAAACACTGATGCCATTTAGTGCATGAGGGTTGGGACTAGTAAATGTTCTGCAACGAACAGGACAGTCTCACAGCCAATGTTTCCCGAAAAGCCAATGGTGCCCATGTTGAGAACTACTAGGACAGCTTTCCACATTAGATTTGTGGAGATTTATGAACAGAGCAAAGCAAAACAAATGAAATAAAACCAAAATAAAACAAAACCCTAAATGTCTCACATTTATAAAACAGGACCATTAAAAACTAAGAGAGAGCCAAGCTGGTGTGGCTCAGTGGTTAAACGTCGACCTAAGAACCAGGTCACTGTCCAATTCCCTGTGGAAGCAGCCAATCAACGATTCTCTCTCATCATTGATGTTTCTATCTCTCTCTTTCTCCCCCTTCCTCTCTAAAATCATTAAAAAATATATTTTGAAAAAACTAAGAGGTATCAGGATCATTTCATTAGTTTGACTATTATATAACTATATATTTTGAAACAAAAGCCTCAAAGTTCTACAATGTTTGAACATCTGCAAGAATATGCCTAAATTAAAATATCACCTCACAACTGAACATAAGATTATGTGCCAGAGAGATAGAAGAAAGGGTAGTGAACACAGTAAATTTGGTAGTAATTACAAGTCAAAAGCTTATGTGGCACAATAGGTATGAAACAATGTCCTTGCCCAGGGAACTGAGGCTTGTTCTGCATTCATTCAGTTCTAGTTTAATTAATTTATATATAATATTATCATTTCTGGAAGTTGCCTGAATTCCCTGCAAATTCACCAGAAATTTGATTCTGGTTCTTCCATAACCATCTCTAATAATTATCAGAGATTTGCTACCTGCCATATCTTGTCTTCCTTCAGCTTCCCACAGATTCCTTAGCTTCTCTATGAATATCTCTTGCGCTTTCCATATCAATTCCACATTTCCACTGCCCAGTCACTCATCTACCTCTTTCAGATACTTTAAATGGTCCTCTTGATTTAAAAAAATACATAAATCCAGAATCAAATGGGGGTTTTACTTTTCAAAATTGAAAAGGTTATGAATCGTAATGTAAACATGTGTTTTCCGATGCTAGCTATTCTCAATCTGTGGGTTGCAATTCATTAATAGTAGCAAAATTATAGTTATGAAGTAGCAACGAAAATAATTTTATGGTTGAGGGTCACCATAACATGAGGAACTGTATTAAAAGGTTGTGACATTAGAAAGATTGAGAACCGCCGAAACCGGTTTGGCTCAGTGGTGGAGCGTCGAATCCCGGGTTTGATTCCGGTCGAAGGCATGTACCTTGGTTGCGGGCACATCCCCAGTGGGGAGTGTGCAGGAGGCAGCTGGTAGATGTTTCTCTCTCATCGATGTTTCTAGCTCTCTGTCTCTCTCCCTTCCTCTCTGTAAAAAAAATCAATAAAATATATTAAAAAAAAAAAAAAAAAGGTTGAGAACCATTGCTTTAAGGTAGGGGTGTCGAACTCAATCAGAGAAGGGGCTAAAATCTAAAATCCAGCCTAAATCGCGGGCCGAATGGTTTACTGAACAGTCATAAACTGTCATTGTGATGGAAACGCAGCGGAGTGCAGTGATGACAGCGCGGTGCGGGCCACATTGCAAGGCCTGGCGGGACGTATTTGGCCCGCGGGCCTTGTGTTTGACACATGTGCTTTAAGGCCATCTCATGAAGTCACTTTTGAGTACTCCTGCAGGATATGATCCCTCCTTTCTCTGAAGTCCCACAGCACTTTTATCAGTGATACTGTCCAAAAGCCAGAGTTGTTTACAGGGTTTGGCCCTACAGACATGTATTTGCTCCACACAGAGGAAGTACCGTAGTGAAAGTCTGCTGACTGAACTGAGAGGCAGCCCTTGGCAAGTGCAGCGTTGTATCATGTGGGAGTGCTTAACTTCTGAAAGTGATCCTGTTTACTCAAATGGGGTAAATACACGATCTTCCTCTAATACATCTAGTACTAGAATAGGACATGGGAATGAATGGCCTAGACACTCCAGAGCAAGGTGCCTATCAGGATCCTGCCTATCAGATGGTTTACTAAGAGCCTAAGTTATAATGCCAAGGTCTTGGTAGTATTTATAACAGCTAAATCATAATCTGTTAATTATGCTTTGTCCTTTGGATTGGTTGTATAACCATCCATAATATACTTACTTTCATTTCTGCTAATGCAACTGAAAAGAGCATTCTGTAAATTAAAAACAAACAGAAATTAACAACCACACTGAATTTCTAATTTTATTTCACTTATGGTTATATGAAAATCAGTATATCACAAACATTTAATTCTTTCTAAATGCAAGACTGAAAACAAAAAAAGCTATAAGATGGCATCTAGTGAAAAGGGAGACCATCTTCCAATACACATTAGGGATCAAGACTGTCATCTGAGCCATAAACTGACCATGTTATGGCAAACCAAGTTTATGTAAAGCTGTTCCAATGTGTGTATTTGGGGGAAACTACAATATATTAATATCAATTATTTCTTGCAGGAATATATAGAAGTTCCAGAAAATGATATATAATAAAGGAGCTATAGGGAATTATATATATTTCATATAACCACTGCATGATAGAATTGCAAGAACCGTAGAAGTCATCTTTAATTTTTCTTAAACTTGCTATGCACTAGTATCACCTGAGCATCCCAGGCCTTATCTTAGACTACAGAAACAATCTCAGGAGTGAGGCACCAACATTTAAACAAGGCTTCACAGGTGTTTCTTACACAGCCACTCTGTGGACTGATACTAAAACCTAGCTTCAAGTCCGGCCGGCGTGGCTCAGTGGTTGAGCATGGACGTATGAGCCAGAAGGTTGTGGTTTGATTTCCAGTCAGAGCACATGCCAGGGCTGTGGGTTCCATTCCAAGTGGGGGGGAGGGGTGTGTGTGCAGAAAGCAGCCAATCAATGACTCTCTCTCATCACTGATGTTTCTATCTCTCTTTTCTGCTCCCTTCCTCTCTGAGATCAAAATATATTTTTTTTAAATAAAAATGTGACCTTACAAATAAAAAAATACCACTCTGGATTAGCCTGTGGGATCACTTAGCTTAGAGAGGTACAAAAGGACACAAAATCTGAAAAATGTCAGAGACGATCTAATCTAACTCCTTATTTGACAGATGCCAGAGATAGGCCTAAAAAGGAAAATACATATAGACCCTACCTTTTACCCATACTAAGATGGTAGAATTGGATAGAAAGAAATCATATGGCCTGCAAGCCTAAAGTACTTGCTGTATGGCTCTTTACAGAAAGTTTGCTGACCCCTGATTTAGAAGAAGGGCATAGCTAGTATCTTTCACTTCTCTTAATGTCTACTAATAGGCCCTTCACAAATAGATTTACTCTAATTTGTTGAACCAAAAACATTTATATTTCCTCAGTGTTAATAGTTTTTATATCTCTATCTTTGTCAATTACCAATTTTAATGTCTAAAAGAATGGGCCTTCAATCCTTCTCTTGCTTACTTTACACTCACCATGATTACATAGACTCTAATCATATCACCTTTTGTGATAAAAGATTTCTAATCTTAGATAACTATATTTAGGCATAAATTATATCTTAGGTAACTATACTTTAGGTAACAAAACGATAAATAACTCTACATTTCACTGTTTAATTACTGCTAATTAGTTTGACAGGGCTTAAGATATACACATAATTTATATTTTCTCATTTCTTTTTTTCGGTTTATTTATTTATTTATTTTTATTGATTTCAGAGAGAAAGGGAGAGGGAGCGATAGAAACATCAGTGAGAATCACTGACCAGCTGCCTCCTGCATGCCCCCACTAGGGATCGAGCCCGCAAGCCTGGGCATGTGCCCCGACAGGGAGTCGAACTATGACCTCCTGGTTCATAGGTCAAAGCACAACAGCTGAGCCATGCCAACTAGGCTTTCCTCATTTTTTAAGATAGCCAATCTTGAGTTCTTAGTCAATGAAGTCTTTCAAATGTCTGATCGCCATCTGGTGGCAAAAATAGGAAGTAACTGAGAGTTTATAATTATTGGTATGTAATAAATATATTATTAAATGGAGCCTCTTTTGACATTCTGCCACCAGTATTTTACCCAATGTCCCTTCCTATAACAGTTCCCTCACCACTCATTTTACCCTAGACTAGATCAAAGTTACAGTGTTACTGAGGTGAAGATCTAGCACAACATCAGAGACCAAAAGAACATGTCAGTATAGTGAAGCTGACAGGGTCTTAAGAGATCTTCAACTTCACTACACAGCTGGACATTATTGTAATAACAAATACAATACAGTACATCCTCACTTAACATCGTTGATAGGTTCTGTGACTTTCACAAAAGAACACATAATGCTATTTTACCATTGGCTAATTGATATAAACAAGAGTTAAGTTCCTACACCATCTCGCACCAACATCATTACTAAACAATGTTGAATAAAATGTTATTCAATGATGTGCTATATTCAGTGCTTTCTCTACTTATCCAAAGAATGCCCAATTTATAGACATTTATACAAGTGTCATTTATTCTGAAAAAAAGAACCTGTGCAAGTCAGCTGTCCAGAGAGAAAAAAAGTCTCTTAAAAATCCTACATAGCCTAACTGGTTTGGCTCAGTGAGGCTATATAGGATTTTTAAGAGACTTTTAAAAATCTCTTAAAAAATTTTAAAAGTCTCTTAAAAATTTAAAGTCTCTTAAAAATGTCGGCCTGTGGACTCAAGGGTCCCAGGTTCAATTCCGGTCAAGGGCACATCCTTGGTTGTGGGCACATCCTCAATAAGGGGTGTGCAGGAGTTAGCTGATTGATGTTTCTCTCTCATCGATGTTTCTAACTCTCTCTCCCTCTCCCTTCCTCTCTGTAAAAAAATCAATAAAATATTTTTTAAATCCTATATAATAAAAGGCTAATATGCAAATTAACCGAATGGCAGAATGATGACACACACTGGCCACCAGGGGACAGAAGCTCAACACAGGAGCTGCTCCTGTGATGGGTGGTCAGTGAGCTCCCACAGGGGGAGCATCGCTCAGCAAGAAGTTATGCTCATGGCTGGCAAGCCCAGCAGCAGTGGCAGGAGCCTCTCTCGCCTCCGTGGCAGCTGGACATCCCCGGAGGGCTCCCGGACTGTGAGAGGGCGCAGACCGGACTGAGGGTCTCCCCTCCTCCAAGTGCACGCATTTCATGTACCGAGCCTCTAGTTCTATCTATAAAAATACTAATTGTAGAGCCTCTTTACAGGCAAAAAAATTTTTGTTCATCCTTTAAGTCTTACCTGCTCTGTGGAGATTTCCTCATTACCCTAAACAGGGATTTTTTTTCCCTCCAGGCACCAATGTGTCTTGTATAGACTTCTAGCAATGTACTTGTCTCACTATATTGTACTGAACTATATGAATTTCTCTCTTCTCATGAACTAGACTATGAGCTTCTAGCATAGTGGCTAAATCCTTTCATCTCTGTAGCCTGAGAACAGTGTCTGACACCAATTAAGTCTATCAATTCGGTGAATGTTGAGTGAATAAATGAATGATAGATGCAAAGACAAAAGAGACATAGACTCTGCCTCCAGGAACTCAGAGTGTAGTATTAAAAAGTGGCATGTGAACAGAATTATAAGATACAAATGCTATATAATAAAGCATATAAAGGATTTAGAAGTAGCAATCAATTTTATGTGTGTGGAGGCAAGAGAACTTGGCAGGGAGGTTTTTAAATAGAAACTAAGTCAAAATTTGAAGCAAAGTTGCTAGTTGGATAGGGAGAGTGATGTGCCAGGATCAGCTTTCAAGGGAATTTGGGGAAGTGGGGAAGAGTCCAGATTTTGCCATATTTGCTGATGTCCCTGGCATTAATACCCTAATCACAGCTGCTTTCAAATTTAAAACTGGTTTACAAAACTCCTGAATATTTAATAATCAGTTCTCCCTAGCTAGTAAGATGCTAGTTCCATCATATCACTGAATGGGGTGTGACAGGATGGAGTCAGAA